ATCAAATATCCTGCAGCAGTCAGGAATTCCAGGGTGTCTTGATACCAGATGTCAGCTGGGCCTTCAGACGAGTGAGTCTCTGGTCAATTTCTGTGTACGTCCTCTTGCGGGTGGGGACGGGCGCCATGAGCCATCTGCACCAGCTTATTTCTCTCCGCTTTCTCCAGCTTCTGCAGAACCTTCACAAGAGCGAAAATGTTCGGGTGGGCTCTCTGGACGGTCTTGTTGAGATGCGAATGCCAACCCTCGAGATGATTGTTCGTCCTTGGGCCGCTGGTGTCGTGGTGATTCCATAGTCCGGCTCGGAACCGTGCATGGTCGTCTACCCAGGTGCTGGTGATGTAGTCCTGGAACTCATCCTTCTGTCCAATGGCAGGGGCGTCGTCCATGACCTCTATCCAGGCATTTTGTACCATGGCCACTGGGAGGAGGGGGAGTGCTGCTGCTCGTCGGACCCATCTGTGGACCTCAGGATCCTGCTGGTAGGCTTCGCTGAAGCCGAGGTTCTGTACTTTCCTCCAGAGAGCCTGGCTGTAGTGGAAATAGCATCCACGGACGTCGCAGTTGGGGAAGACGGTCTCAACAGCGTTGATGGCAGCGATTTCGAAATCCGTCTGGATGACATCAGGCTGAAGGGGCGATCCCGTTGTCTGCTGGATCTTGTCGTTCAGGAGACGTAGCAGGCGTTCATAGGTGCGGCGTTGACGATTCGGCAGTAGACAGAAGACCAACTGGGTCATCTTCCCTCCGACTAGGCCATGGATGACGTACAGCTGATCCCAGAGAGGAGGACAGGAGTAGAAGGTGCCGTCCATGTAGAGGGTGTCCACTTCTTGCAGGAGGGTCAGGCGGTCACTTGTGGCGAAGCAGAGAATCTTGTTAAAATATGGTACTTGTTGGTTCCTGACTGGCGCTCGGCATTAATGGGTACAACAAGGACTGGTCGGCCCGGAGTCAGTATAATGTGTCTGAGTGGGGTATTCATGCTTCACTGCGGCATGGTATCTCAGTGGGCTAGCACTATAAAACCAGGTTCAGTCTGGGCTAGTACAAGCAGCCGCCCATACACATACACACGCATGCACATCGTCATATGAGAGAAATATTCTCAAGCACGACGTTTTCACCTCACCTCAGTGACGACCAAGCGCTACATCTAGACAGTCGTCATAATGACAGTTTGTGTCACTGAGAACATAGAAAATCAGGTTTCTGTGACGTGTATTATTTGAATGGTGACACAGAGCCAGACACAGTGACCTGCATTACGATTCTGGGTATGGTGACACATAGGATCAAAGTATAGTGACCTATATCCTTTGGTAGAGTGACACACAGGGTCAGGTTATAGTGCCTGATCACCCGATCCCGTTAGTCGCCTTTTGTTAGTCGCCGTTAGTCGCATGGGTTACTGAAGATCAATTCTATCCCGGATCTTCACGGGTTGAAAATTATGTAAACGATAATATCGTACATGAAGTATTGTGATGAAATAATGTTAAAATGTCCTCAGAAAATACACATAGTTAGGTCTTTATTAATGGACTCCTTCTAAAGTATAAGTTCAGGACAGCCTTTTGTTGGTAATACAAGCATCCATATGCAACAACTCATCACTCATTTCTGTCAGATTTGTTAGCCATTTTCGCTCAAAGTTACTTTTCCAATATTTATCGATAATCGATCGATATTCATCTGACGAGGATCGATCTCTATGATGTATATCGATAGCCAGCCCTAATGGAAATACACAATCATTACACCATCAGAAAAGCCAATAAAGATTAGATCAGTAATGGAGGGTATCACGACTTCACACCCTCAGCAAAACATATCTGTTTGAGGACACCAGTGAAGAGCTGTGCATGAAGGTCACAACGTTGTGTGGTGACCTTTTAATTAATGTTTGTATGGTTTACAATGAGTTCCTGCGCTACTATCATTGTATTGATAATTGTTCATTGCGTAACTATACATGCAGTTGGGTATAGGCTTACTTTAAAAGTTTAACCATTATTGTCTTGTGACAACGCACGACACAGTGAATCAAGAACAGCCACGCCTGCTCTACTGTGAGTTGTCCAGTAGCTACTATGACGTAGCCAGGACCAGTCACCGGTTAACTGTCTACACAAACTGCAGCTTCATTGACAGAAGGAGCCACATAAGACGGACACCAGTCATAAGCGCCATGATATGAAGTATACGTGTATATGAAGATCTTTGACTGGCGTTTGTGCAGAGTGAGGTCGGCGCCGGTGTAGCGTCTACAAAAGAATATGCAAATCCTCAGATGATGTTAATCTGCCAGCAGCAATCCATGAAACAAATTTACATATAGATAATGCTATATTTATGCTTTATCTCAAAGCAAATTCTTTTAAAAGGTATGAACACGCTGTTCGTATGTCTGGGTGATCTTTAAGAATGGTAATAAATAGGAGTAAATAGTCTTATGTTAAGGTATAAAATTTGACTTACATAAAACCATTAAGTCATATTGATATTACACCTGATAACCCAGGTTAGAATGACCGTAGTCAACCAAGTTAGCGAGACTGACAAACAAACACACTATATTAACGATAGAGATACAGTTTAAGATAAACGTTGTAATAATAATATCACGCTCTGTTGTGAAAAACAGTGAGTCAGTGAGTTTAGATTTACGCCGCACTCAGCAACATTCTAGCTATATGGCGGCGGTCTGTAAATAATCGAGCCTGGACCAGACAATCCAGTGATCTAAAGCATGAGCATCGATCTTCACAGTTGGGAACCGATGACATGTGTCAACCAAGTCAGCGAGCCTGACCACCTGATCCCGTTAGTCGCCTCTTAAGACAAGCATGGGTTACTGAAGATCAATATTCTAACTCGGATCTTCACGGCATTGTGAAAGACAAGTTACCACTTGTGTAAGCATGCAAACGTCGCTGACAGAAGCATATAGCCAGCTGAATGGGAGTAACACCGACAACATCATGTCGAACTACACGTACCGTTAAGGGGGCGGTGGTTAAAGCGTCCGCTCGTCACGCTGAAGATCCGGGTTCGACTCCACACATGGTTACAATGCGTGAAGCCCTTTTCTGGTGACCCCTGCCGCGATATTGCTGGAATATTGCTAAAACTGGAGTAAAACCAAACTCACTCACGTACCGTTAAGTATACAACTTCGAATGTAAGTGTGTCGGGCAACACAGTCACGTGGAACTACACGTACCTTTGTCTTGACAGCTGTTTTCTGGAACCAGAGGTAATATATTGTTGATGAAGTTACACTGTTGATGATGTAGGCGTTGTCTGGTTGCGAGGTCACCGACATCTAAGGTCATGTACTGAGCCTTAGGTTGTTTAAACACTCCCCACGTGCTTCTCGATGAAACGGGCGTATTGGGGTCTCTGAAGTGGTTCAGAATGGGAAACGTTTGAAATAACAAAATAACCAAATGCAACATGATGCTGGAAGCTAGGTTATAAACGTTAAGTTAAATTCTGTTAGATATCGATACTTTAATTTAGGGATTTTGGGTTAATGTCTAATGTTTACGTAGTTGTAAAGTAGAGTTTGTGAGAGAATATCTGAAGATTAGGGCTGTGTATTGGCAAATAAATCGTATTGCATATATTGCGACTTTTGTACCCGTATTCCGATACGGATTGTGATATACTGGGCGCTCCAGTGTTTGACATTGATTGTACATGCAGAGCCTTAAAAATAAATGTTAGATTTGATTTTGAGTGATTTCATTTTCTTTTATATTAGATTTATTGCATGTAAGTATGGTGATCTACCTTCACTTGTTGGCGATCTATAGCCTGTTTTTATATTGTATTGTCCAAATAGTGCTATCAGTTTCCACTTTCCGTTTTTACTTTCCACACTAGTTTTAGTTGTAATTGTGATATTCTAGTTGTTTTACTGTCCTTCGTCGACAGGTTTTTATAGTATACGTATATTCCATTTCAATATCACATATGTTCTCGTCACGATACGGCTGAAATATTGCCGATGTGACGTTAAATAATAACTCACTCACTCACTATTGCATGTAAAGTAAGCTGTTTTGTCAGTTAATTACAATGGAAAACTTCAGTGAGAATGAAAGCCTGTGTGTATCTTTTAAGTTGAACCCAAAACATAATCACAAAACTTCTTATATTTTTATATACCGGTTCTGATAAAAAAACAACATTGCAATACGTAGCCTAACAGTGAATACAGTGACTACGTTTTACTATCTCCGGGTCTGGGTATTAAGCATTGCGATTGACCTAAATCAGTCCCTACCATGGTGATCTACCTTAAGTTACTGGCGAGCTATAGCCCGATTTTAAATTGTGTTGTTTTGAAATGATTTAGCATTTGTCAATGAATTTGTCAATGGACTAGTTTTAATTAATTGGTCATATTTACTTGTTATAGTGTCCTTTGCTGACAAATTTTAATAAGTTTAAATATATTCATTATTAGTTCATAACTTTTTGGAGTCACGATATGGCTGAAATATTGCCTATGTGACGTCACTCACTCACTTTGTGGGTAATAACCCTCGGGACTTAAGTATTGTGGGTGAATGATGTCACCACCAGATATTTCTATGCTATTATAACGTTAATAGTAAATAAATCATTGTCGGAGAGTGTTAAACATTACCTCAAAATCTAAATCCGTCGTGTTATCCGAGCTTCGATCAACCCGAAGCTATTACTAAACTAAAGGGGTGGTGAGTTAGCCGAGTGGTTAAAGCTATGACCCGACATGCCGAAGACGCGGGTTCGATTCCTCACATTGGTACAATGTGTTAAGCCCATTTCTGGTGTCCTCCGCCGTGATATTACTGGAATATTGCTAAAAGCGGCGTAAAACCATACTCACTCACTACTAAACTAAAATAACGCATGGACCGAGCAGCCATTACAAACAACCGTGAGTGTGATCAAAGTTTGACAGAGCGGTGTTTGACCTTTGTTCGACAGTTTGACTGTAGTTCGACTCACCCTGTTTTGGCGAAGTTAGTCCAGTAGGTCATGATACTCCTGCTGAGGTCCACCTCACCCTGATCGAATCCCAGTGCCGCGTCAAGAGGGAGGCCGAAAACCATCTCGAGTTCATACGTATGTGTCGCTCCTATCCATACTGGATATTTGCTGTTGGACTGACGGTGGTTGTAACTGTACATATAGGTATCATTGTGTTCCGAATAGAACGAACAGAATTCGACAGCTCTACATATGAACTCCAGATCATCCCGGATGTTGTTTAGGATCTGTACATAGTTGATAGGGATCAGTGGATCATGCATATCTTCATAGAATAATCTCAAAGCTTCGACTTTAGATTCCGGTCCGGAGAATCTTATGTAGGGTTTCAGGACTTCTAAATACTTTTCCCTGGTCAAACCGTCCCGTGTGAAGTTGGTCATTAGAGGTAACATGAGAACAGTGGACTCATCCTTATTGCAACCCTGTAATATGTTCGTCCTCTTGAACTGACCCGTCATCATCAACGTCCGAGGGTCGTCTGGCAAGAAATACTTGTCTACAACAGGTGCATGAGCTCTTCCTCGGGTCAGGCCTTCCACGAAGGCGGGCGTGATCGCCCCAGACTCCACATTCTGCAGACATTTGAAGACATCAGCGTCCGTACTGTTATTACAGCCAACAAGGGCGGCAAACGATCTGACATATGACCGTGCCGTGTTGTGATCTTGATACACATGGCGACCTAGATTTTGAACGGGAGACCCACTCTCCAGTATACCGTATGTGAACAGGTCACGTGACAGAGGCGACAGAAGGTGGAGACCGACGGAGACTGCACCAGCACTTTCTCCAAATATAGTTACCCTGTCGACGTCACCACCAAAATTGGCAATGTTATCGCTGACCCATTTCAAGGCCATCCTCTGATCCATCAAACCCATGTTGCCAGGCATTGTATCAGGACCCAAGTATCCGAAACCCAAAGGTCCAAGCCTGTAGTTGATGGACACAAGGATCACGTCATTCTCAGCAGCGAGATACTGCCCGTTGTATAAACCCAGTCGATTAGACCCCATGCCCCATCCCCCGCCATATATGAACACCATGACTGCCAGTTTAGAAGCTTGTGTGATGTTCGAAGGCCTCCATAAATTCAAGTAAAGACAGTCCTCGCTGAGGTTGCCTGGAGTCTTACGGTAGTCCTCTGGGAAGCTGAAGATGTCCCTGGGTTGAAGGCAGGAAGGTTTCTCTGTAGTGGCGTTCAGGATCTCTGGATCCCAAGAATCAGGTGGGAGAGGATGTTTGAAGCGGAGGTTCCCTACTGGAGATTTAGCAAATGGTATGCCATGGAACACGTCCACATTTTTGCCAAGAACAGCCAGCGTTGTTCCTCTCAACTGGCCTTGTTTTGTGTCCACCTCTTGCCCATGAACGATATAGACACAGCACATAATCAACACAGCAGTCGCCGAAGATAGTTGTTGTCGCGGCATGTTGTTACGTGGGAAGATAGCGTTGGGTTACTGAAATCAGAATGAAGACTTCGTGGGACAGTGTATCCCCATAAAAGCTGATTTTTCTATAAAAAAAACATTTCTACATGTTTTCATGTACTAGTGATATTTATGACAGTAGTCTATGGCTATATCTTGTATATCATTTACAGAAGGGAATACTACCTGTACTCTCCTTCACTGACGATGAATGACACAGTTTATCAAGAATGCTAGTATCCCCACTCGCTCTTGACTCTACATATTGACCATGTATAAACACGAAAACCAACCTCTGCCTTACTTTGTTACCTTGTTAAGGTAAAACCTCTACCATAAGTTACCTTGGGGACAACGTGAAGGCGAGAGGCTGGGTTTGGAGTATGGAAAATGGACATTTTCATTTCTTGACCTACATTAAGATTGATAAAATTGTTTAAATCGTTTCTTATTCACACCATGTCAGTGTATCCCTCAAATTAAGTCTCAATTTAAGGTAACACTCAACATTTACATTCAAATAACAACTACCAAGCGACTGGAACGAAATTTTAGAATGTTTAAAGAAAACGTCAAGATATGTCCTCACCTGGAACGGGCAGGTATACCGCCTAAAATGGGGTGAACTTTAACTGCGGGAATGTCCTCTGTCATTTGGAGGCTGTGACCCTCGTCCGTACCCTAGGGAAATACCGCAACACCTGGGGACAAAGGAATGTTGGCGGTCGGGCAATCTAATCTCCATCCAGACTCATAATATCAAGACACATGTAATGTACTATGGCATTTTTTAGCCGGTTGGTTGGCTTGTTGTTTAACGCTGCACTAGCAATATTCCAGCTATACTGCAGCGTTCTGTAAATAATCGTGTCTGGACCAGACAATGCTGTTATCAACAGCATGGGCATCATATGTCATTCGAACCTGACCACCCGATCCCGTTTGTCGTCTTTCCACAAGCATGGGTTGCTGAAGACCAACTCTCAGCTTCATTGTATGAACGGTTGTGAGGTACCCTGAAAGCACTGTGTTGTAATTATGCACCTGCGTGGTATCTACATTCTACCCAATAGTTTCCTTGCATTTTTTCAGCAGTATATACGCCAATACTGATTTTCAATGAACGAACCTCGTGTTTTCTAATGGAAAACTCCCCCGATCGAGAAAAGTGCCTTTGCCTCCACTTACGTACAAGGGCACGACACCGTAGCAACAACCGAGTCACAAGACAAACCCTCCAACCAACAACAAACCAACCTACCAGCCAGCCAACCCATTAACTATCTTACCTACCAGTCAGCCAGCCACCAACCCACTAACCGACCGACCAGCCAACTAACCGACCGACCGACCGACCAACCATCCAAACTACTAACCAATCTACCAACCAAGTTACCCACCAACCAGGGAACCAATGAACCATCGATTCACACTCTGATGGGTCATATAACGTATGTGAATCTACACAAAGTATTACCAACAAAAACGGTTTTGCTTTTGCTTTGCGCGTGGCCTATCACGACTATGACCACTGATAATGCACTGGCTATATCCAACTAGATGTTATCTCCAACTTGTACCAGACAGCTGCTGCTTGACCCACAGTCTCCTGGCCGAGATAAGAACTCCTCGCGGTATGGATTACAGTGTAAGGTTTACATACATATTTACCTCTTTAATTTGCTTCCTTTGATCTCCGATGTGTATTATGTGACTCACCTATATTACATATGAGTATCATGTGTGGCCTATGTGTTGACTTGTATGTGTTTTTTGATTGGCATACGTCTTGTTTCATGGTCTTCAATGAAAGACAGTCCATGTGTCAGGAGTCGCAACCAAGCGTTGATAGGCAGACCGTCTGCTGTGTCCTGATCCTGTTGTGTGCATGACTTGTATAACAGGCAACTCGAACAGTATTTCAGTGATATCGGATCAGGTTAATGTATGAGTGAGTGAGTATGGTTTTAGCTATATTCCAGCAATATCGCAGTGGGGGACACCAGAAATGGGCTTCACACATTGTACCCATGTTGGGAATCGAACCTGGGTCTTCGGCGTGACGAACGGACGCTTTAACCACAAGACTACCCAACTGCCCCGTTAATGTAAGTTGAAAACTTTGCAACCCGTAAATCGAACATAGTCCCGAAACAAAAACGATGCATTAAGTTCATTAAACCTATGTCAAGTGAACACCAGAGCGGCAAAGAACCTTAAGTTTCCTTTTCGGGTGGTCAGGCTCGCTGACTCGGTTGACATATGTCATCGGTTCCCAATTATGCAGATCGATGCTCATGCTGTTGACCACTGGATTGTCCGGTGCAGACCCGATTATTTACAGAACCCCGCCATATAGCTGGAAAATTGCTGAGTGCGGTGTAAAACTAAACTCACTCACACACCTTTATTCATGGAGTTGTGAACTGGATGGACACAACCTGCTGATGCTGAGAAAGAAATGGCAACTGTTTCATTACATGTGTTGTGTTCAGGATGGAAGGGGCGAAGGATTTTACAGGCAGCATGGAGCGTTGTCGGCATAAACCAGGCATAGAACCCACGAACCCGACCATGAAAGGCAATTCTGCACGGCATCGTTAAACGTCGGGTTTCTGCCTAATGAGCCAATGTAAATGACGTTATGGATGTTAATAAGTGTACTATAATTGAAACAGACATCTGTCTGATATTTTCATGGTGCATAAATCAGATTTAGGGCCTTGTGAGGGTTAAACATATAAACATATATCGCTTATCACTACACAGTGAACAGACTTCTTGGGAGATACACAGGTGCGTGTGACTCATATCCACTGAATAAACAATGTGAACAAATGATACTGGCATGGTCATGGTTCCCAGCGTCCCCAAGCCAGAGAGAACAGATTGTATGTTGTAAAACACATGCTGATAATGCAACCTTGGTGTGGCGAAGTCACTGGTAATGCTACTTTAGTGTGGATTCAAGGATTCAATATTTCTGGTTCTTCTCTCCTCAGGTCAAGCTGGTTCTGATAGTGGTGGTGCTGCACCAGGCTTCCGCATTGGCGAGGCGAGATGGCAGTAAGTGCTACAGATGTATGTTGGGGGTTCAGTTGAGTTGAGTTGGGCTTTACGTCGCATCGGCATTATTTCAGCCATATAGCGACGAGATCAAGTATTCATTCATAAGCATTCCAAGTACAAAGTCCATGTTAAAAGACATATTATTTGATTACATTATTATCTAAAAACAGAAAAAGTCATACCAAATTTAGAATCGAGCAATTCGCCATTCACATTACATTGATGTAATTTAGGGTTTAGAGTTTTAACTGGAGTGGCAAAACAGAACCAGTATCTTTTAGCGAAATAACCCATGCGTAACGAATGTCGCTGTTTTAATTCATCAATGTTATATTAGGTCTTTCTGCTAAACTCACGTAACATTATTGTTCCCAGGTCTTCGGTGCTTGGAGTGTCATGGAGCCGATTCGCCTCTCGCCTGTAACAAGTGGGCGTTGTGTGGACAGGGAGAGGTAGCTTCCGTAATATCCGGAACCTGGTCCAAACTGTATATCTCTAAAATCTTTGAATCCTAAAATCATAATGGTGGTGGTGGAATTGGGTTTAACGTCGTGCTTGAGAATATTTCGCTCATATGACGACGTGCATGCGTGTGTATGTGTATGTGCGGCTGCTTGTACTAGCCCAGACTGAACCTGGTTTTATAGTGCTAGCCCACTGAGATACCATGCCGCAGTGAAACATGAATACCCCACTCAGACACATTATACTGACTCCGGGCCGACCAGTCCTTGTTGTACCCATTAATGCCGAGCGCCAGTCAGGAACCAACAAATACCATATTTTAACGTGTTTTGGTATGACCTGGTCGGGGATCGAACCCGCGACCTTCCGCTCTCCGGGCGGACGCTCTAACCACTATACCACGGAGGCGGTCCCTAAAATCATAATACTTCCTTGAAATTTCATTAATTTTAGTACGTATGTATCTTCAGTAACCCCTGCTTGTCGTAAGAGTAACGGGATCTGGTGGTCAGGCTCGCTGACTTGGTTGACACATGTCATCGGTTAGCAACTGCTAAGATCGATGCTCATGCTGTTGATTACTGGATTGTCTGGTCCAGACTCGATTATTTACAGACCGCCGCCATATAGCTGGAATATTGCTGAGTGCGGCGTAAAACTAAACTCACTCACTCACTGTTGGCTTGTGTTTTCTTATGGACAGCTCAATATATATGTGTGAGTCCTGCTTGTCCGGGATTGAACGGATAATGTGCAATGCTTTAATATGTTGTCAGGTGAACAATATTTCAATATTACCGTTGAATTGGCAAACAACTGCATATCAAACGCACCAAAACCTTTTTGTGAACATGTTGTCAGGTGAATACATTTTCAGCATTGCTGTGGAACGTTCTTGTTTGCAGCACCGTTGTATGTACGTGTACAAAGATCCACACTCTTTAACATCCCTCGTTAGCTTTCTATGACGGTTCAAACCATGAGTGACCCGTGAAGGTCCGGGCTAGAATATTGATCTTCAGCAACCCATGCTTGTCTTAAAAGGCAACTTACGGGATCGGGTGGTCAGGCTCCCTGACTTGGTTGACACATGTCATCGTATCCCAATACTGTACGCCAATGCTCATTCTGTTGATCACTGGATTGTCTGGTCCAAACTCGATTATTTACAGACCGACGTCATATAGCTGGAATATTGCTGAGTGCGGCGTAAAACAACAAACCAACCCAATCACACTATGGGTACTTCAACAAGCAGGCCAAGCATATAGGTTCGCAAGTCTATACTGCCTTCTGTCTGGCAGGGAGTCTCATGCACCAACATTTCCGTCCCTAGGTCTGCTTCACCCAGGAATTCACCGACAGCAACGGGAACCAGAAATTCCGGATGGGATGTGAGGAAAAGACGGTATGTGGCCATACGACCGTGAACTTTGGTTCATAAACTGTCGTGCAGATGAAAGCCCACAACCATGTTTAGTGAGGGCTGGTAATGGAACCAGCAAGTCATGGTCATTCGATGGTGATGTAGCGTATTTTGTCCATCACTGTTTATTCATATTTATATGGACAGTTTACATTACAGTAAATAAAACAAGATTTCACTAACCGCAGTGGTGGTGGGGTAGCCTAGTGGTTAAAGCGTTGGCTCGTCACGCCGAAGACCCGGGTTCGAATCCCCACAAGGTTACAATGTGTGAAGCCCATTTCTGGTGTTCCCCGCCGTGATGTTGCTGTAATATTGCTAAAAGCAGCGTAAAACCAAACTCAGTCAGTCAGTCACTAACAGCATGAGATTGAATGGTTGACAAAATATGTAACTAGAGAAGTGTTTGTCTATTTTGATCCGCGGCTGTGTCAGTTGCCTACAGCAGTGATATACAGTAATGTAGTTCATAGAGATATCACCGTTGTGTTCTGTCACAAAACTTGACCGTGTTTCGGGAATTGTTCAGATATGTAATGTTTTCATAACCTTTGTAATCTGTGGATCAAATCTAATGTTTAAGCGTAAATTTTCTTTTATCTGTACCTGCCAGTTTAGTTTGTCAAATCATAATATAAACATATTCCCTATCTGTGTGTTTTTGTTTGTACAACGATTGTCTTAGATTCCTGAGAGATTTATAAACTTTAATAAGTCGTTCCGAAATATATTAGAACAACCGTTTCTTTTTTAACATATGTCGTCTTTCAACAGAGATGTGATTTGTACTTGAATGCCGAAGCCGTTCTCGGTATCCTTGGCCGAAGGGAGATAAATGACCTTGACCTCGATGATGACCCTGCAGCCCCTCGACCTTGCTACCAGTGTTGTTCAGGGAGTGACTGCAACGACCGCCTGTGTCTAGATTCTCTAGGGACACAGCCTGGGGTGGGGAACTCAGGAACTGGTGCCCATAGTGAGTGTGATCCGTCAGGGACGATATGTTAGTCTAGTGGTTAAAGCGTTCGCTCGTCAGGCCGAACAACAGGTTTCTGTCCACACATGGTGTAATATGGGAAGTCCTTTTCTGGCTTATCCGCCGTGATATTTATAGAATATTATGAATTCTTAAGCGGTGTAAAGCCTCACTCACTTGCATCCTTCACACAACATTTATTGTCAATTGTGTCATTCTGAGATGACATATGACGTTACAGTTACGTAATTTGGTAGTTTCAGGCCAAGAAAGTTGTGTGGCAAAATGCTCTTTTACTACTTGCCAAAAAAATGAAAAATGTGGATTCGGACATTACATTTCCGGCTTCTGAAAATACATAAATACATTATCGGTATTGTTAAACTAACGTATGCGATTGGACGATTTGGGTACCATGAATCCACTTAGAAACAAACCAATGTGAATTGATAACGTCTATCACCGTATATTTGGCGGAAACATCTCAACCATGTCCAAACTTTAAAGTCTTACTTTCAGGCAAAACAGATCATCAACCAAACCGTTTGTCGTGTAACTTGACTTTCAATTTTCAATCACTGAGTGTCAAGTATTGTCCGACTGTGCAATGGCATATGGGTGGTGCTCTTTGGTGTGATTAATTATAAACTGAAGAGCTATGTAGCTTGGAGGCAATTGTGTTTTGTAAAAACGTTTGGTCTTGCAGTTACTTTTCATTACTTATTGTTAAGGTAATTGTTATTCATTATTTGGTTTAGACTGTGTTATCTAATCGTTTAATCTTGCAAATGAATTGGTGGAGGGACTCTATAGTATTCTTATTTTCAATATTGGTAGTTTGTATTGTTCCGTGTAACACAGTTAAGCAATACCTAATTCAGAAACCTGTTATTCTAAGGGGGCGGTGGGGTAGCCCAGTGGTTAAAGCGTTCGATCGTCACGCCGACGGCCCGGGTTCGATTCCCCACATGGAGACAACGTGTGAAGCCCATTTCTGGTGTCCCCCGCCGCGATATTGCTGGAATATTAATTTGCTAAAAGCGGCACAAAACACACCTCACTCACCCACTCACTATAATCCTATGAATTAAGAAAACAGAGCATTGTTCTGCATGATCTATTACCATTTTGCATCTTGCTTTTTAGCATGATTTTTGTTCTAGAAAATACAGGTGTTGCTTAATTAATGTCCATGTGCATATTGCCAGCGTGTCCCCCGACGTTCATCAGCGGCCCCCACAGCTGTTACTACATCGCCAGCTGGGCAGTCACGTGGGCAAAGGCCAGACAGGATTGCCAGAGGAGAGGGGCGGACCTTGTGTCGGTCAACTCACAGGAGGAACAAGCCTTCCTCGTCACACAACTCAAGCTTATCAACTGTGAGTGTACTGGTATCTGTGGGTGAGGTACTTGGACGCTGGTAACAATGCATTTCAGCTTCAAGTTGACTGAAATCAACACGACACAATTTAATTCGGACTCAGAAAAGTCCAGAAACTCTCCGCACTGTGGCCACTTTCTGACAAATAATTTGACAAAATTAAGCATGCAGTTTGATGAATATCTTTTCAAATTTAAACTCGCTGGTCGGCCCATGGGCGAGACTATTTAGTTTCTCACAGATTTCATGTTTTGGATGTTGTAAATGAATGAATATATGTTAATAAGTATCACGACACATAATTCCAGTAATTTTGACTTAATTCGGCTAATTTAGAGCGATATTAAAAAGTCTCGTCCATGGACTTATAACATTATCACTTTATCACATTATCTGGGCGTTTTACAATTTGCCGAAAGCCACAACACGTGCAGGTAGATTTGCTCTGAACTACGTCAGGGTCATCCAAGACACGAAGTGACAACACGGTGAAGTCATTCTCGGACAGTGCATTTTATAGTGATAAACAGTGTACACTTGTACAGAGTATTTTAACATGTCGTCGTAATCTGTATGCAGGTGCTCAAACATTATAAACATGTCACATTACCATACTACGTACAGTTCCGGTCATCTGTAAAGGTGCTATATACTTCAGCTGATGGAACATGTGTCTGCATCAAATGTAAGACACCCGTGAAGATCCGGGTTAGAATCGATCTTCAGTAACCCATGCTTGTCTCCCCCGTGAAGATCCGGGTTAGAATTGATCTTCAGTAACCCATGCTTGTCGTAAGAGGCGACTAACGGGATCGGGTGTTCAGACTCTCTGACTTGGTTGACACATGTTATAGTATCCCAGTTGCGTAGGTCGATGTTCATCCTGTTGATCACTGGGTTGTCTGGTCCCGACTCGATTATTTACTGCCGACATATAGCTGCATTATTGCTGAGTGCGGCGTTTAACAACATTTCCAGACACCCGAATGGACGCTATCAGATTAGATTCCTTCTCGACTAAAGCGTCAGGCATTAGATGGGATTTGCGTCGATTGATTTTCATGCTGGTGATCACTGGATTGTCTGGTCCAGACTCGATTATTTAAAGACCGCCGCCGTATAGCTGGGCTATTGCTGAGTGCGGCGTAAAACTAAACTCACTCACTCACTCACCAATTTGCGTAGATCGATTTTCATGCTGTTGATCACTGGCTTGTCTGGTCCAGACTCGATTATTTATAGGCCTACGCTCGCACTCACAGTCAGACCCGGTGAATAGTTTGTGTTGATCGTGGTTCATAGTGTCAGCTATTGATATTCTGATCCAGACTCGATTATTTACCAGTGGCCACCATACAGGGGAAAGTTGCTTTGTATGGCGTCAATCACATTTGACGACGTCGGTTTCAGCGACGACTTACCCTTCGTACGGCTACTGGACCGGGGGTTACTATGTGATGGCGCTAGCGGAGTGGCACTGGGTCGACCTGTCCACTACCGCCTCGTACACCACATGGGGGCCGGCTCAACCCACGTCCCCATCCTACCCCTACAACTACCGGATCGGCATGGTGAACCCTATCAAGTACCCGACCTTCTCCGGCTGGGCCTGGGAGAACTATAGCTACACAACTGCTCTCGGGTTTATTTGTGAACGTAGTTTTGTTTGAAGTGTTCAGATTGTGCTGAAGTTGTGTTAATAAAACAGGGAACTATCAATACGTTGATATTATTGAAACTGAGTGTATAAGGAGCATTATAATAGGATACTTATATAGCGCACATATCCACGCAACTAGTACATTCTCAAGGCTCTGGGGTGTTCCCTTGATCAACGGATGTCTTTTTTCTGACATTCTTGATTTTTAACCAACTCAACTCCCTGGGGAGTATTCAACTCATTCAACCTGTTAGAAGCAGCAAGGTATCACACAGCCTCATCCTCACAAGGTACCCATTTGCAGCTGGGTGAACTGGGACACATAGTCACATTATTTTGTCCAATGATACTGCACGTTACTATATCCGCAACTAGGGTTACGCACGTGTTCGTGTGGCCAACATCTGGTCACCTACTATAGGATGAGTGGGTTCTTTTAATTGCACGGGGTTGTGTACTGCACACTAGGGTTTGTGACAACACTGAAAGAACCTGCAAGTAATGTTAGCTCCAAGGTTTTAACAAGTAGGAATCGATCCAGGCACCTTTCGCTTACTCGTCCTTAGACAACTCGCCACCCTGTCCCCTTAAATGAGCACAACGCCACCATGTGAGGTGCAAGATGCTCAGATCTTCCTTGTGAATACACAATGTCATTAACTAAACTGAGTCAAAAAAGAAACTCCACAAAATGTAATTTGAAAAATAATGAATAATTTTTCTCTGATGATACATAAATGTATCCGAAATGGGATCCCTATCTTACGACTCTAGAAAAACGTTACCAAAACCCACTCAAACCCATCCATTCGTCGTGCAAATGACGTTAGTGCCAAATCAGGTTTTGCACGTGCAGTCGATCACGTGATCTTCGCATCGAAGTTTTCTTCATATGCACGTGTTTGCATTGGCCTCAAGAATTGAAAAAACACTTTTAAACCACAGTTCTAACGGTACTTGAAATGCCACGATTGTCAAATGTGCAACGTGAACGTGCCGCTGGCATGTTGCAAGCGGGAAGATCAGTTATTGACGTCGCAGGAGCAATGGGATGCAGCCGTCGTACTGTGTATGACTTGCAAGGTCGTCTACAACAAACTGGCACCACTTCTGATCGCCCAAGGTCGGGTCGTCCACGTGTGACCTCACGAGCAGAAGACCGTCAGACCGACAGATTTCTGCCGGCTACACGAACCAGGGTTGAGATGTTTAGAGGTCGACTGTCCTCACAGACCATTCGAAATCCGTTGCAGGCTGCCAATCTCCATTCTCGACGTCCATATCTAGGGCCAATATTGACGCCGTTTCATCAACGTCAACGTCTGCTGTGGGCCCAACGTCACCTCCGATGGACCCAGAGAGACTGGAATCGAGTCGTCTTTAGCGATGAATCCAGGTTTACCCTCAGATTCGCGGACGGCAGGCATAGAGTCTCGAGACGACGTCGTGAACGGTATGCACAATGTTGTGTAAAGGAAGTCGACAGATTCGGGGGCGGAAGTTGCATGGTGTGGGGTGCTTTCTGTGGGAACAACCGTTCCCGACTTCTGGTCATCCGTGGAAACCTCACAGCTGCTGCTTACCGCGACCAGGTGCTCTCCCCTGAACTCGTTCCTTTCATGTCGGCTCATGGCCCAGGTCTACAGTTTCAGCATGATAATGCTCGGCCGCATACCGCGATGTTGACACGAAATTTCCTTCCAAACGCTGGAATCAACGTCATGGACTGGCCATCGAGGTCCCCTGACCTTAATCCAATAGAGCACGTTTGGGATGCACTTGGGGGAAGGCATCGTGGTCTTAGGAACCAACCTCAGAATTTGCAGGAACTTGGCAATGGCGCAGAATCCCCAACCACGTGTTCACAAGCATCAGGCAGTCGATGAGGAGACGGTGTTTGGTAGTGGTGAATGCGCGGGGCGGCCATACACGATATTGAACTGAGAAATTTCGCATTTTTAATCTTGTGACTTGACATTCTGTATACCCATGTTTTGGAATGGCGGTGTAGCCTAATGGAACTGATTATGGCACTGTCAGTGTATCGAGTACATCACACAGATCTCAGCAATGAAATAATAACAATTTAACCATCTTACCATCTCTTGTTCTTTTATAGTGCCCTGAAGAAAGAATGTGAAGTTTCTTTTTTTACTCAGTATATAAAGGTTTGAGGAGAACATGCACTATATTACACGAAACATTGGGGTGCAACGAAATACATGTCTTTCCCCAGATGCCAAATTTAATACTTACGAATAATCTAAGGTAGAAAGCGCGCACACGCACGCACGCACCCTCGTGATGTTTGTCAATGTTTGAAAACGACATCAATTCAGTGTGACGTAAGAATGCAAATAGTGTACTTCATCCGTTGATAAAGTACTGTCGGCGCCTTTCATCTTTTAGCGAAGCATGTTAGAATGTAATTATTTTATATACAGCTTTATAACCAATTCCTTTGTTCACTTTTCAAGAATTGTTTTGTCAAGGAGGGATAACTCCTTCGTTTTAAGCGATGGTTCATAGATTTTCAAGGAAACTCATTGATTATCAGCTTATGACTTTAAGTTAATCACCCTACAACAATTTCCCATCTCCTGTTTAAAAAGACCTGCATGATGTTGAGACAAAACCGTGTGTCCTACCATTTGATCCAAGAAAACACTCATATTTTGAATTGATAATATTAATGAACTGAACTGAAAATAACGCAGATGGTTTACTCTCTAATTTTAAGAATACATTTATAAAGTTTTATTGACCAAGTATTAGATTAGAACACGTAACTGACACCATGGGATCCTGTGAAGTAGTCTGGTCTGCTTGTTGTTCACGACGGGAAGCGACTACGGTGTTCCATGGTCCAATGAAGCTGTTTCACCAGAAGCAAGAAGACAAAACAATACGTAGGATAGTGCATTTATTGTACACGTGTAAAGCATCGGCACACCAACATCTGCCGAAGCAGAACTACAGTAATATATGTAATTAACGCCCCTACCCTTAAAGCCAAGAAATTCTACAATTGCCTGTACCCCTCATAATGACACCTGGACAACATCTACGACTAATATATACCAACAGTTTGGCTTCTTGTTTGGTAGACCCCCGGGGCGATAATTACACAGAAGACGGTAGAACTAGACATGTGTTACTGAAAAGTCAGTCAAAATGAACGAGAGCAACAGTGTAAATAACGTAGAAGGAAATCCGTCATTGATTACAATAGCACTGCATGTGAGATGACACAAGACAATAGCTGAATCACAAGATGATCTGTACCATTGTCTAGGCAAACACTCCAAATGGACAAGAAGTGTTTTGGACGATCCCAAAACTAGAAATATTACAGAAACACATAGATATGGTGATGTAACAGACTAACTGTTAAAGATTCATCAATTTTAGGACTTAAAGACGTACAGTTGACACACGTACCTGCAATACTGAGTACACCTCCAAACTTGCAAATAATGATTTGTTCATGTGTGGCATGGTATATTGTATAGCCGAAACCCAGATATTATAAATCGGGTCGACGTCCAGTAAGATTAATCACTCTAAAATACGTTTATTTAAATAAAATCATGTTTTGTAAAAATAAATAAATATATTCCATCCAAAAACTGACCAGTACTAGTATTCCAGAATGGGTACAATTTGTATAGTGAGGATAATGCCGAGGCAAGGTTGGTGACAGAGGAGTTTTCATTATAGATCCTATTGTGGTTCACACATCTCACAATTTAAGCAGTGTAGAAACAAATAAGACTCGGAGCCTTCTCTTTGTTTAGTCAATCTGTAAACTTGGATCCAATTGATAGATAAATATCAAAGTTTACCAGTACTTGAAATCAGGAATAAATCTGCACTGTTATTAAAATATCATTATCAACTCGAACGAGGATATCATGTTTAAAAACTCTTCTTATTCCGCTTCTGGAACACCGACATTTTTGGAGTGATTATAGTTTTACGCCGCTTTCAGCAATGTTCAAGCGTTGGACCCCAGACATCTGCTTCGATAACTGAACATGAGGGGATTCGAACCTAGGTCTTCGGCGCAACGAGCGAACGTTTTAACCACGAGGCTACCACACCACCCCAGCGGCTTTGGAAGAAAATCTGTTAAGGTAGATAAGGTCAGGCGATGGTGCCAAGACTGACCCAGGCATAGTGTCCAGTCATCCACGAGGCGTGACGAGCGTGTTTCGTCTCAAAGACAGTCAAACATTTGACAAAGCATATAGCTAACAGCAGAACAGGATGGTCTAATAATAGGGAGAAACTTCATCAAAGTACATATTTAACATTTATATAAAACCATCACAACAGAAGAAGTGTGCCAATATACACAAAGTCAGGTGATCTACGAATGTTGCTATAAGTATGACTACATTCAACAATCAGTATACAAAATAGTGCCCATCTAAACACTCGTCCACAAGACTATCAGAACCTGTGATCGGAATATCAAATGTTACTATATAACGCACACATTCGTTTCAGTTATGCCTTTTAAACAAAAAGCATAACATTATAAGGCCTTATTTAGCTTTCTTTTGAAATACATTTAAAAAGAACGTATCCTGCACAAGACATTCGTTTTAGTCTTTTATACAAACTACCAAGTTTAGATTCCTCTCATGTTCCTATAAATAAGGTATCTGTAACTCATAATGTATAACACATTCGTTTTGACCTTCTTAAGAAAAACTCACATATTAAAAAATCTAGTTGAAATATTAACCATTCTGCACAGCACATTCGCTTTAGTTAAGTCTTCTAAACGAAATCTTCTTTTTTTCTTCTTTTTCAAACTTACATTTTTCTATGAATTATATTTCAATGCACCTCGCCCCGAATAACACATTTTGGATTAGCCTCTTGAAACAAAACTACACTGTTTAAGAGTAACTGTTGTTTCCCATGACCTATAGACTAAGTTCAGTATAACCCCCTTTATACCACACTCATTTTGGTGAAGCCTTCGTCACAAAACTACAACCGTTAGAACTTCATTGGTGTTCAGTATAACTTGTTCAGTATAAATTAAACCAATTTAACCTTCTGATAAATACTATGACACATTGAACTATGATTCTGCTATTATGGAAATTAGTTCATCGAAACTGAGCCTTCGTAACAAAATCGTTTCAAACCTTTTAGTACTCTTGTATTCCATTAGTTGAGTGTAACCCATATTTTCTAACAAAGGCTGTCTTAACAAAACTAACATGAATTTCCTTCATGTTAGGGTGTGTGTGAATTCTTCTTGTTGTTTTTGTGTTGTTGTTGTTGTTGTTGTTGTTGTGTGTGTGTGTGTGTGTGTGTGTGTGTGTGTGTGTGTGTGTGTGTGTGTGTGTGTGTGTGTGTTTTTGAGAGGTTTAATTCCTCTTGCTGGAACATTCGCTTCAGTTAAGCTTCCATACGGCGTTGATGTTACATTTGATTTGTTCATGAAACACAGATATCTGAAATTCGTGGTGCAGGAACATCCGTTTGAACAATCCACAAAACTTTATCTGCGTTATTTTCCTATCAATGCTATTATTAATCCAACACTTACGTGATATTTCCTTTGATTCTGGGTTTTGGTCAAGCAATGTCTTCAGCTTTAGCAATATCGCAGCAAGATCACTGCGTGCGGCACCACCACTCGGTTATAAACATTAGACCCATGTACGAAATCCAAACTAGCTTTCAGTGCGACGACCGAACTCTTTATCCACTTTCCTACCCAGACACTGCTTATCACTATACCATTTGTGCATACCCATGGCCCCAGAGTACAATATCAGAACAGTTACACTAGGCACGGCACATGCAATACGTTCGTGCGAGAAGTACCACTAATTGTCATAGCAACCAAGGTTTCTGCATCATCCTGGAAGATGCGGCGCTAGACGATATGACAACACACAGGGCCCTGTTGGCCTGTTGATGGCAGATATGTGATTCGCCGACTGCATACGTTTGCCCCAGGTGTGCATATTCTGTAGTGTTCACCTCGGTATATGGCCATGGAACACAATGACCGAGCAATTTTCTGAGTCTGACTCCTTTGCCATCAGCGAGGGAGCCTTCAGGTAAAAGATGTCAACGAGCGGGCACAGCATCAGGTTCCGTAGTGTAAATCCACTTAGAAGTTAAATACATATCACACGAGAGGACGACACAGAAAGCATTTGTAAAACTATCATATTACGTATTTGAGCAAGCATAATCATGATCTGTCGTCATCACCGTCAGGCTTCAGCCAGGGGACTGACAGTTAGACAGTTAGACCCAAGTCATATACTGATGGCAGCTGTTTGCATACATCTATCATCACCTTTCTATGCATATATTCCATGACGATTTCCATGTATCCATTCGTGTCACGGTGTGAACATCGGATCTTGTTTGCCAATTTGTGGTTGGAGTACCTGTTCACTCATCGACCACACACCATGTGATGCTTGTATATACAAAGTTTCCGTCCGTCGGTTTCAGGCACAACATATTGGTGATGAACTGAATATACTGAAATGATACTGGTTTGGCTCCATGTGGCTCCAGGTGGCTGCTGACTATCTGCATATGATGGCTTCCACTACAGCTCCTGGTAATGCTGGTGTTGAAATACGACAGCCTCGGATATGGCGCCAGTGACGATAATTGTCAGAGTTGTCACCTTCCTGACCGCATCGGCAGGCACGACCATGACCACACTAGACTTGCTGCAGCAACAACTGCGACGTGAACGTATACTACCGGCCGTGCTCCCCCGTTAACCACCACGTGATGATCTCACCTTTACCCTGTAAGTAGAACGTAATATGTTAGAGCCATAGGTTTGATCAAACTGTATAGATACCAATTCATATGTGATAGCTGTCGCTATTAACAATCCGTCAGAAATACATCCTTGGTGCAAGGATTCAACACTGAGCTCTTAACCTTCACCAAGGGAACAAAGGTAGATAACTCTAGCTGAGCGCTTTGTTCCTAATTCCGACGCTATTGCTCTTCGGACTTCCACATGCTACTGTCTGTACAACTAGTTCTTACCTATATCATAACAATATATACTAGTTCAAGGAGTTCCAGCTGCTATAATCTGTTTAGCAAGTTCTCACCATAACCTGTGTAAACCTTATAGTCATCGTGGTACCAGTGTTGATAACAACCAGCAGTACAACGTGTTCCTAACTCAATGTTATTCGGACTTTTATATACTAGCATCTGTACAACTAGGCATCACCAACATCTAAGCCAGTTCCCGAATTTCTACGGAGTCTTCATCGAGGTACCGGTACCGAGCGTTATTGCCATTCGTGGGCGCACGGCGTGTTCTCTTTATTTCTGCAGGAGGTGGGACGTTCAAATGCTACAGTCTTTACAACTTGTTCTCCCGTCGTTTCTTCCGAGTTCTGGGTACTACTTTAGCGTATTTTAGACACCGCCATTAGAACATATAGTTCTTCTCACTGCCTAAATGCATCTGGTAATTCTAGCCACTAGTAGTACGTAGAAGGGCGTAGATGCCTCACCATTTCGTCTTGTGGACGCCTCCAGCTTTACCGTACGTACAGATACGTATGCCATTCACTTCGCCCTCCACTGGGCTGTTCAGTTCCAACTACTATTGCACATACCAATACGTATGTCTCTAATTGTCTTTATCAGGCATAATAGTTCTAGTTCAACTCTATGTACAAGTATGTGTGTCTTCCGCCTTCCCTTCTACTGGGTAGTTCTGATACTATGCGTATAAGGATTTCTGATCTTTACTTCTACAGATCCTTGTAGGACCTAGACACTTCCACACACGCGTATCTCACCTTCATTTCTACTGGGCCTCGTAGCTCAAGCTTGAATGTATGGAAAGTATCAAGCACCTCTTTCGTTTGTGGACTCACGTGGATCTTCAGAGCTGTAAGAGAAATAAAGCTTGAAATGAAATTACAGATGTGGTATCAGCTGAATGGTATGACATTTGTTTGGATTTGGAAAGGGTGAAACTGTCAAGACACAAATATGTGAAACATATCAACAACTCTGTGAAACAGCTGGCAGCATGACTTATGTTGAAACTCACGTAATCCGTTGGACTCCATCCTGGAGGTAGTGTTGACGGTGTCCCCAAACAGACAGTACCTCGGCATCTTCTGGCCCACCACTCCCGCACACACAGACCCTGCAGACAGAGGCATCATTATACTAGGTTATAGCGGCTTCCCGAACTAGTGTATGTATCTTCAGGCAGCAGATGGTTTACTGGCTTGCTCTCATCTTTGTCATTATATAATCCGTGATTCTTGCTCTGTTTCTCTCTTAATGTCTTACTTTATCTCTCTCCTACTCCGTTACCCACCTCACTCACTCTCCCTCCATGGTTTGCGCTCTGTACACATCTCTCTCTTGCTGTTTATCACTCCCACCTCACTCACTCCCCTCTCTCTCTTCTTCACTTTCTCTCTCTTTCTCCCTGTCTGTCACACACACCCCTTCCTAACCTCTTCTACATGGCCTTCTGTGCCACACGTCACGGCCCTTTACATAAACATTTACATCCAGACCCGCGAAGATCCGGGCTAATATTATCTACTGCAACCCAATGGCATGCTTGTCACAAGAGGCGACAAACGGGATCGGGTGATCAGGCTCGCTGACTTGGTTCACACATCTATTTATAGACCGCCTCCATATAGCTGGAATATTGCTGAGTGCGGTGCTGAATGCAGACTGTCTGTCCGTCTGTCTGTCTGTCTGTCTGTCTAGACGTACATCTAGATCTACCCACCTGTGTGGAGGCCAATACGGAGCTTCAGCTGCCTGTTGGGCATATGACCTATTTTGAAAGACAGTACAGCGTCCAGGATGGAGAGGGACATGCGACAGATCTCCCTGGCGTGCAGGTTCCCGTTCCGTATAGGAAGCCCCGACACCACCATGTAGGCGTCCCCGATAGTCTCCACCTAGCATGGTAGACATCACACATTTAATACATCACACTTATGTCACAACATGCACAAAGTTACACATTATTAACCTGGTCAATGGTAAGTTACTCTCATTCTCAGCTCCCTTGAGATAACACGCAATGGTCAAGTGATGTCTGTGGCTTTTTGATCCACATATAACACCATGTCAGCAAAATAACGGGGACAGGAACATATGATTTGTCTTCGCCTGTTGTATCTATGTCTTGATTTGAAGCTCGGACTTCTGCGTGAAGTGCAAGTGTCCTTAACCACACGGTATACCATACACATCTACTGTTTTGACAATGTCTTTTACAAATAGAATTTTAGACTTTTGCAATTAATCATATATTGATTTTATATGTTATGATTAATATATATTTTAAATTTGAAGGAAATCAGTGAAGATTTCGCAACACTATTTACATTTTATGTCATATAAAACATAGTCTATATTTTCATTATTTTATTATTAATTGTAAACCAGTAATGAGTGTTTTCTGCAATCTGATTGGTTAATTACCCTTGTCGAATAGTGTTCGACATACCTGAGAATGATGGCCTAATAAGTATAAACCGCACATTAATACATTGGCACTAATACCGTACTACTTTCGCTGCATGAATTTGCATAATGGAGGAAGACGACAAATTCTTGGAAGAATTATTCAAAAATGATGGTGATTACAATCACATGACACATAATCTTTGATATGTGATCAGATAATAGTAAAGTGATTGAAGAGCCATAAAATAATATCCTTCAGTGATGTTTGTTCAGAAATGAACTGCTATGCAAATCCCAAACATCCGTGTGTTTAATTTGTTACAATATTCGACGTTTAAAGATTATTATTCAGGCAAATAATAAGTTAATGCTACTTGTTTCTAGATATTGATCTTCCAAAAGATACCAATCCAAGCACTTCGGACGTTTCCACTTTGGAAATTCCAGCGCTAACGCTGACCCGGCTCGATCTTGTCCTCCGAGCATCACTCGGTTTTAAACTAAATTTTCGGGTATTGAATTATGATGAATCCTGGAAATTTCACAAACGTAACCCCTGTGATACCATATATGGGTAATACAATAGAATCAATTGCAACTTTGGTATTCAATGAAATATGCCAGTGAAATTCATACAGAGATTGCTTGTGAACGTCCAAGTGCCCTTACCTTATAAACATCGAAGTTTTCAATAATGGAGTCGAATGTGGTGTAGAGATCGTTCAGCAGTGCTATAACCTGTATGAAAACAGTGAATTTACAAGCCAAGCATAGATCTAACACTTGTAATCTCAGATGACAGACGGGCAACAGTGAAAGGTCGTAACAAGCATGACTTTGGGTGAATCTCGGTGAGGCGGGTGAGACGTGGAGCTGAAGGGAGCAGCAGGTGTTGTTATGGATGTCTGTGAGTGAGTGAGTTTAATTTTACGCCGCACTCAGCAATATTCCAGCTATATGTCGGCGGCCTGTAAATAATCGAGTCTGGACCTGACAGTCCAGTGATTGACAGCATGATGTCTGGGTAATAGTCGTCATCTAACCTGACGGATATAAATTGCCGCACTTGACGGGAATTTGGCGGTGAGTGGAGGGATGGTGAGTTAAAGGTCGTCGGATTCATAAAGCCCTGGCAGTTCTATCAGTTAAAACTCAACTATGCCACCAGCTGTCAGTGTAGCATCAGTGTTCAGCATAATGTACAGGAAGAGTAACAGGTTTGTGGAACCGGGCTGGAACCGACGGGGTGGGGCGTAGAGGCGATGGTGCGGCCGATGGTGGATGTAGGCTTGGGTTCAGATCCATCATTTGTGTGGACATATCGTAGCTCTTTAGAAACAGTTGTGAGGTGAGGTGAAATTGGGTTTAAGGTCGTACTTGAGAATATTTCGCTCATATGACGAAGAAACAGTTGTATGTAGATCATGATGTGCCGTGATATGGCGGCTTCATGTGGTCCAATTTGGAGACATAGAGGTCATGTGACAGCACCCTATGTTGTTTTGTTTTCGCTCAAACCAGAAATATGGGAAGTCACTTGTTCATTGTAAGATGTGTCATGATGAAATATAATGAAGCATATGACCCTTTAATGTATTTCCCTGACGTTCACATACACGCCAGTGTTGTCAGAAATAGTGTTGGTTTGTTTTTTTAAATGGTTCTAATAATTTTTTAATTGATTCCATTTACAACTTCTGTATAATACAAACAATCATTATACCTATTACTTATATGATTATTTCAAACATCTGATTGTGAAACGCAGTGACCCATTCCACAACATATAGCCTATCACTGACCTGCATGGGTGTACTCTCAGCAGACATGGCGGTGAAGCCACAGATATCACTGAAGTAGATGGTGACCTGCTCGTAGGACTCCGCCGCCACTGACTGGCCCTTCACTAACTGGTTAGCGACACTCCTGTGGGAGATACAGCAATGAGTGAGTAAGTAAGTTTACTTTTCTACGCTTTTGACGCTTACATTTGACAACCACGTCAACGAGCTTGACCAGCCGATCTCGTTAGTCGGCTCTCATGACAAACATGGGTTGCTGAAGGGGTGGAAGTGAATATGGATTTTTATCTTGCCTCACACATAAATGTCGTTTTCTGAATGGCTTAGCGCTCTTCTATTATTTTCAATGTACCCCGCTTACAAGCGAGTAACATTTACTATGTACCCCGCTGGGAATGCCGAACTCATTTGTTACTTCGTAGTAGTAATTCTTTATCTCGAATAACTTTCAATCACGTACAATTACCGATGTTTTGCGAATGCAAATCGATGGAAGTGAGATAATGTGTTTTTGTGTCGTCTGGTACTCCATACTATGATCCGATAACCTTGCTTCAAACAGTTCCAAATTACCACTGAGGTGTTCGGTAAGATAAATAAGTTGTTCAATGGTCCCTAGGGGCCCATGGGTTGATGTACCCTCGATGTTTCGATGTTCGAGGGTACATGAGCCCGTGTCCACCTCGAGACCAGTGAACAACTTATAATGTCACTTTCAGCAACATTCTAGCAATATTACGGCGGGAGACACCAGAAATGGGTTTCACATATTGTACCCATTTGAGGAATCGAACCCGGTTCTTCAGCGTGACGAACGAACGCTTTAACCACTAGCATACCATAGCATGGTTGATGGAGACTTCACGGGCTTTGGACAAAATATAAATTTTGTTTTTGTAAATATATCTAAAGGCTGTTAGCATCAATACCTAACAGTATATATTCAATGTATGTATAATAGCAATAGCCCATTGTCAGAACCTCAGTGGGAAATGGATAACTCTGATAGTGATAGAAATAATCATAGGAACGAGATCAGGGAGGGAGCTGTTGTCCTATGATTTGCCGTCCTGGCTCGAATGGGATATGCTTGTTAGAGTGAGTGAGTGAGTGAGTTAGTGAAATTTGCACCGCTATAGAGCAACATTACGGCGGGAACACCAGACATGGTCGTTATAAATATGTCGGGAATCGAACCCGGGTCTTCGGCAAGACACGAGAACGCTTCAACCAGAAGGCAACCCAACTACCCATGCATGTTAGGTAACAGTGACCACAGATAGTTCATGTGCCCCTTTAGCCAAATGTGTATGTAAACTGGGTTAGCCCTATACAACTGATTGTGGCAACAGAGGCAGTCCAGGGCCCCGTTTCACAAAGTTCCCGTAAGCCTGTACTATACTGTAACAAAGGAGGTACGAATGCTACGAGAAAACCAACGAGATCTTAGGCTTACGAGAGTTTTGTGAAACGGGGCCCAGGACACATTGGTCCCTGCTCACCTCGGCAACATCATGTACAGCAGATCCTCCGCCCGCTTCTTCTGCTCCAGGTAGTCCGACGTCCTCTCCTCAACCAGGGCCTCTAGGTTGTTGGCGTACTGCTCCATCCGGGACAGCAGGTTGTCAAGGATGTCGCCCTTGTCACCTTCCCTGGAAACAGCCAATCAAATAACACGTTACATCCAGTCATACACTGTTCCATCCGGGACAGCATGCTGTCAAAGATGTCGCCCTTGTAACCCTTCCTGGAAACAGCCAATCAAATAACACGTTACATCCAGTCATACACTGTTCCACCCGGGATAGCAGGTTGTCAAGGGATGTCGCCCTTGTCACCTTACCTGGAAACAGCCAATCAAATAACACGTTACATCCGGTCATACACTGTTCCACCCGGGACAGCAGGTTGTCAAGGGATGTCGCCCTTGTCACCTTCCCTGGAAACAGCCAATAAAATATCACATGACATCCAGTTATACACCCAACTTTCCGGATCTGTCAGTATATACACCTGATATTAAGATTCATGTTTACACCCGGCCGTCTATCTATATGTAAGCTATCAACCCGTACAACCTACTTGTTCAATTTCCTAATGATAGTTTTAAGAGACTGGAAGTCAGGTCTCTCGACGGGGTCCTCCGCCCAACACCTCTTGATGACCTCAGCTAGCTCATCACACGGGCAGTCAAACTCCTCGATGGTTGGCCGGAAGTAGGGTCTCAGGCCGCTTTTTAACTTCTCCAAGATTTCTGGAACAGGAAATGTTCACATAGATCACAGATTGGAATCGGTCCCTTGGTGCATATTGTGTGACACAGCATCTGGTTGAACCTGTCACCGAGCAAAAAAAAAATAATTCAGCGACAATAAAGCAACATGCCTTCTGTCTTAGGCTGAAAGGAAACAATCCACTGGACGAGCCCGAATGTGTCACAAGCATGTGTTATGAATCACTATGAAATATTGATGACAAATATACATTTCAAAACGTTAGCATATCCTGCCCTACCAGTGGCCAGCGCCACAAACGACAAAAGCCATGGGCTGTTGAACGCAATCCTAGATAACTGACTCTTGTTCTTGGGGCGTTTGGGGGAAATGAAACGGGTTCAAATGCGCGTTCATGAGTGAGTGAGTGAGTGTGTTGGGGTGCACACTGCTTTGTATTAGTAACCCAGCAATATCACTGCGTGGACCCCAGGAATGGGCTTCACAAATTGTGTCCATCCACCTGGGTATTAGGCGTGACAAGCGGACGCCTTCACAACCCGACTAAGCCACCACTTCGAGTGTTCCTGATAATATCACATATACTGTGATCATGACATGCACACAAGAGTTGATAAGGTTTTTTTGGTAAAGATTCATATCAAAGTAATGAAGGTAGTGACAAGTGGGAAACAGGGGGAAATATTTAATCGAAAGATGCGCATTATCAACATTATATCATTAACGTTTGATTCACACAATATTCACGCGGTAAACAACATTAACATGACAGTCACGCGATACGGCCACACGCGATGTTTACAAGATTGGTCAGCATAGGAACCACGTAGCTATTCGTGATTGTCGAAAAACTGACATCATATCAAAGACACGTGATCCGTCCAAGTTTTTATTTTTTTTCCACACTGGCAGCGCATGTTTCGGAATATGTACGCAAGACACACGGTGAATACACAATTGGTACTTTTAAAGATATATGCTAGTTAGTTTTAACTCAATCTGTGATAATCTAATGGTTTTACTGTCCTTCGTTTACAGGGTTTTATATATTATATGTATGTATTATAAATTTAGAACTAGTTTTAGTCACGATATGGCTGAAATATTGCCGATGTGACTTTATATTTTAACTCAATCACAATTGGTACACCATACCTCCACCATGGTTCCAAGCGACACAAAGAATCTCCACGTACCCTGCGGTCCGACGTCCAAGTTTTGCAAGTAGAAGACCCCGTTCCTATAGACAATCTCCTGACAGATGATGGCGAAACTGTACACGTCACCTTTGTTGGAGCCCTCTGGTGGCCGATTGGTCATGCGCAGTAGTTCGGGTGCCGTCCACAGTTTACCTTAAAAGGATGTTTCCAGTGTTACGTACATTGTCCTCAACATTTGAATCAAGTGACATCATGATATATGTTCTCTCGCTCTCTTTTAACTAGCAGTCTTATTTAAGATATGTGATAACGGAAATTGGCTTCGGTCAATGTACAGTGACCGCAATGGAAAATCTTCCAAATATAGAACGACATCCTGTAAAAATGTAGTACCGAGATATAGATCAGACATTCAAGCGAGTGGAGTCAGAGATCGATACTAGATCCCCCATAAATAAAACCTTCGACTTTTACGACAATCGTGGGTAGTTGGGAACTGTGTAGAATATCTCACTTCTGTAGAAGCCATACATGGCCTCAAGCAATAGGCATTACTAAAACCATATGACAACAGCCTGTCAATAAATTACACCGAGGTATGGATCAGGAATTCCAGTGATATTATAATCAAAGAAAGATACTGGATCCGTCAGTCAAAAACGTCGCCTTTTACGACAGGCATGATGGCGGTTGCTAGGATACTGCTCGTGAGATGCACGTGTGAAATATCTCACTTCGGTAGAAGGCATACGTGTCCTCTGCCATGTCGTCGTCCGACTCCCGGAAGTAGTGGAGACCGAAGTCTGTGATCTTGACGACGAACCTGCTGTCGACAACACAGTTGGTGCTCTTCAGGTTGCCATGGGAATGGACGTCTGTACTGTGCAAATATGCCATGCCCTGGTAACAGAAGGTCATAGGGTGTTCAGGCAGCAATAACCGTTGTTCGCAGATTATTATTTTATACTTCACACAATAGCAAATGACTTTGGATAAACTTCTTGACATAAAACATATAGATTCAAATGAATATTTACATCACATCTTCAAAGGATATCAGACCCCGATTTTTCAAGAAATCGAATCATCACTTCAGATTGTTTCAGATTTTTATATTGTTGCGTTATAGTTGGTTCAAATGATCTGTTACAATCAGACTGGTTAAGCTTATCATCAGCTCACGGCCCTTGCCCCTTTTCCCACAGCCCTGACAGCTACTATGAAGTGCTACCTATTCGAAACCAGTAAGGCCTTTCCTGGTAATGTGAAGGCTCAACTACACTGAAACATTCTGCATTACTCAGCTAGTCAGAAGGGCTTTGTTTCTGGCTGCCAACCCACGTATTCTTCCATTTTTTTGGTGTTATTATTCGACTTACCCTTACGATGTCCTGCATTATAGAGTATCGGAACATCCAGTCCAGCTTGATCTGGTCGTTCTCCAGGACATCCTAGAATCAATGATTGTGCTCATTATAGAAATTGTTCTTGAATAAAGGGAAGTAACTCTTCACAGAGACATGTAACGGACATTCCGGATGCAAAGATTGTTTTCATTACCGGTATTTTAGGTAAATGTAAGGGATGCAACGCTTCAAAATGAAATAAAACCCCGGTAAAGCAGGTCTCAGATAAGATGCAGTCGGTGGTGTAAACGTGTTTATGCATGAGGGACACAGCTCCAGTCTGAACCAGACAAATCCAATGATTGATTAAGAGCATCAATCTACTCAATGAGGATACATGCTTGGTACTGTAGTGTTCAACTAGCACGGTAACATGTAAATTAATCACACGTGGACAGCTCGAGTGTAACCTTATAGATTTTAATGTTTTCAAATGCCTTTGCACTGGGACAACAGGGAAAATAAGGAATAGGAACTGAAGATGTTTTCTGATATGGAAGAAACTTTATGGATGAACAACTTCTTTATTCAGGTGATGTGGCGTTTTTTATACAGATTCTTGTACCGTTGTCAAGCAAAATAAGTTTCTAGTTATCTGATTCACCAAATTCTAAATATTCCACTCAAAGATGAAGATGTTTTCATCTTCCAGGGCTTCATTTTCAGATTTGAAGATATTTTCTCTGATGGGAAAATATGATTTATGTCATTCTCCTTCACGACCGTGTTAATATCCCAAACATAAATTGATGACTTCTCGTTAATCCGGGCAGAAAATGTCCTTGGTAATTATACAAGAATGTCCTTGGTAATTATACAAGAGCTCTGGGTAATGTTTTGGATTTCAACTACAGACGTTCAGAAAGGATTGATGAACGAGTGAGTGATTTGGGTTTTACGCCGCCTTTAGCAATATCAACGACAACAGAAATAGGCTTCACACAGTGTACCCATGTGGGGAATCGAACCCGGACCTTCGGTGTGACGAGCGAATGCTTTAACCACTAGGCTACCCCACCGCCCCTAAAGGCTTGATGTCTGGACTGACGAGGTCCAGGCCACGCCTACAAGACATACCTGTAAACTTCCTTTAGGACAGTACTCCGTGAGGATACATTGGTGAGGGGCATCTATACAAGCACCTATAAACCTCACGAGGTGGTCGTTCTGCAAGTCTTTTATCTGAAGAGAAACGTTGAATACCAAAATCTGTGACAGCTGACGCTCATACATGCAGTTGCTTTGTCCTGACCTTTTAATGTTAAGTATATACTTGAATATGATTATATGCTAATTATATACTTGAAATCATTCATGTATATATTCAAAATTGGACATTTGGCGTTCAACGTAATTTTATCCGCGATTTAAATGACCTATGTTGGAAAAGGAACACACAACAGGGCATGACATGAAAATTGAGTATTTAGATATGTGTAACTGATAATGGTAGAACTGTCGTAAGACAGCTCAGGTAAAAAAATAGTTGATTCTGCCAGTCCAGTATAGGTACAAATCACTTTTTACTTTTGTATGACCACTTCGGTATGAGCAAATGCTTTCCGTAGGACACATGAACTTGATGGTTGATGACGGTTCGTGGAATATGTGTTCATATTTCTATTCATGGTTGACTGGACCTAATGTCCGTGTCTAACCACAGTCCAACATGTCCCACTGATAAGCGAGTTCTTCACGGCAAGACGTTGACATTGTGGACGACAAGGCGTTCCTGTACCACTACATCTACGACTTCCTCAGCTAGATCGCCGACTATAGCTTACCTTCTTCACCTCCAGCAGCAAGGGCTTATGGATGGTGATATGCTGTCTTGGTATGATTTTGATAGCTAAAATCGCTCCCTGAAAACACAAACATTGGGTCTGTTCATTAAATCGTTCATACCGCCCATTCCCTGATACACGAGGTACGTAAAGCACAATACATGTATTCTAAGACCAGTTTACAACAAATCATGGGTCTGCAAGTCCTTGGAAAGATAAACCTTCAAACACATTATATATTCCCTTGGATGTGTTGAAATCATATTTATTCAAATATGCTTGCCATGACAGTACATTATGATATAGACCTGTCATAAATTATCCGATGACGTTACTTTGCATACCCTATGGCACACTGTTTTCACGAACAACTGCCTCCTGACAATCCTAAAGTGCCCTGTCTTTTAAAGTCGTTGTTATTTTATATGAATGACAGTGTCTGATCTGTATATACTGTTTTCTGTTGACATACCCTGAAGTATCCGGTCTTGGTAAACAGTTGTCTGTTGACATCTCCCAGTTGTACAGCGATCGTGTCCCGTGAACAGTCACTCACGTACGAGTACCTCTGCAACAAGACATAGATGGATTGGAGGACCCAAGAGCGGGTGGAGAATGTGTGTTGGCGTTCTTGATGCCAAAAGTTACACCCCAGTCACAGTGGTGTTGTGTTTGCCTGTTTGTGTAACGCCACTCTCAGCAATATTCGAACTACATGTCCGCGGTCAGTAAATAATTGAGTCTGGACCACACAATCCAGTGATGAACATCAGGAACATTGATCTACTCAATTGGGATACAATGACATGTGCCAGCCATGTCAGACCAAGCCAGACCACCCGATCCCGTTAGTCGCCTCTTACGACAAGGGTGGGTTGGTGAATTCTAACCCATATCTTCACGGGTACAATGGAGTTGTGGTAGATTAGCATATTATCGTTATGTTCCTACAATTGTCATCCTGCTTGTTTGATTGTATATTATTCGAAAGAGCATCGGGGATGATTTCATTGTGAAAATGTATTCGAAATTCAAGTTAAGAACAAGCTAGTTTTTGACTACCGAACTACAGTTTTGAACATGGCAATTGTCCAGTCTGCGTTTGGACAAATTGATCCCATCGCTAGGACTGTCGTAAACGTATCGGAGTTCAGGTGATCTTGTCGCTTCATGATACGTGTATGTGAGCATGTGTTTAGGTAATGACGACTCGTGTGTACAACTTACCCTGTTCAGGCTATACCGACTTCCCTGTCTCTCCAGCTTGCGGTTCTTCTCCGGGGCCCCGAACATAATGTCCTCCCACTTTACCCTCCAGTTCATCTCCGCCAGCTCCGCCTCAAGTCGGATGTGCCTGCCACATATACCCGGATGTTACCTCACAAACCCGTATGTTACCACATCCTGATGTTACCTCAAACACATACAGACTTTTTCACACACGCACATGTTTCCATACTCACGACGACTGTTACCAATTGCTACGGCACAGACGCACGCACGGATTCAACTATACACAAATCGATGCAAAGAAACATACATCCTTTTTTGATGGTGTTAAACATAATTCAAACTTAAAATGCTAATTCCATGACATTTGTGTTACGGGTATGATGGTTGTGTCCGGGGCCTGACGTCTGCAGTGTTTCGGCACTTATTTTCATCCTATTAGTGTTTTGATAATGTTTGTAATATTTCAGTAAAATCCATTTTTCAAGTGTATACTTTCGTCTGCCCAGGAGTGTAGTTTCAAAGTGTAATACCCCTAACAGGATATGAGTCACAATATCCTAGCAACCACTCTTAGTAGAGTGATCTCCTTGTCTCACCTGTACACGAAGAATGTGACAATGAGGACCACGAGGAGGACAGATCCGAGGACAATGATGACGATGCCATATTCGGGGAAGGGTTCTGTAATAAAAGACAACGAGTGACAATATGTTCATGTTCTAACTAGAACTGTCATGTTTGGAATGGCGACGTATAAGACGCCATTATAGTTTCTCACTTTCTAACGCAACTGACTGGCACATTTAATGTTTTGAATGTGTTTTTTTCACCAATATTCAACCAATGTGACTGAAGGTAGCTTATCCGCGAATCTGGGCCAGGCAAACCCTTGACCAGTGAGGGAATGTTTTATGAATGTTTGTGACTGACCCGAGGACCGTTGCACCAGATAAGTCAACACAGAAAGAAAGAAAGATTTAGGAAGCCAGCCCTTAGCTTGAGATACTAGAAAGTTCGCATCATGACTACTGTTATGTGGGGTCGTTAACCGTTAACGACAAAATGACGTCACATTAAATACTCTACAATTGCACTGAAGAACGACCTACCGTCAGGGGGACATTTCGACCCGTCAAAACCGCACTCGGGCGTGTCCGCAGGGGGAGAGTCCAGTCCCCCCGCCCAGTACACTCTCTTCCCAGCAACAGGTTCGTAGCGTCGCCGGTTGCCATAGTAATTAGCCACTACCTGTAACACAGATATCAAGATAAACACGATAACATCATGATATACCCATGCGTAATATTTCATTCATTTCTTTCTCTATTTACAAATGTATATCAGAGAAAGCAAATATATTAATGTTCCACGATTTGTGTCACAATTGAACTATAATTGTTAAAAAACATATCCATGTCTATGTGTGAGTGAGTGAGTGAGTTTAGTTTTAGCAATATTCCAGTTATATGGCGGAGGTCTGTAAATAATCGTAGTCTGGACCAGACAATCCAATGATCAACAGTATGAGCATCTATCTGCGCAATTGGGAACCGATGACATGTGTCAACCACGCCAGCGAGCCTGACCACCCGATCCCGTTCGTCGCCTCTTACGACAAGCATGGAATACTGAAGGCTCATTCTAACCCTATGTGACATGTGGGCGATTATATGTATTTATAGTATGCAATATGCCATGTGGAAAGGGTTTGTCCGATTTCTCCGATTTCATTATTCGCAGAGTGTATGTAGGTCATCGGCCCATACAGTTTGGGTTTGGTGGAAAGAGTGTCAGCCAGGAAAGAAGAAAGTAGGGGGTTCGAGTCCCAGTCACGTGACACAGAAAAACATTAAGAAATGTTTGTTGTTGTTACCCTGTCTGGCACTAAGCAGAGGATATAACAGGGGTCTGTCGGTCGGGCCAGTAAACTGTGTTTGAATAGAATTTACGCATGGTATATCAGTGAGCAAGTTCGGACAAGCCGTCACAAGTCACAAGTTCGGACAAGCCGAAGCAGCCGCACGTATGCACGCACGAGCACACATACACATACATGTCGCTGTGTAAGTTCAATAGTCTTGAACGCAACAATTAACCCTATTTCACGTGACGGCCTTCATCTGCTGTTTCATATTTCACTGACACGTTCGTCAAGGTGACGATTTTCTTTCTTTCTTTCATGTTTCAGGAATGTTTCAGGTACATGATGGCGGTCTGCATGTAATCGACCTTGGACCAGACAATCCTGTGATGTAACGGTGCTGTTTCTACCGTATCAAGGTACAATAAGACACCTTCGTTGGCTTTACGCCCACGATACTGAGGGTGTCCTCTGATCTACATGTAGCTTTCTCATACAAACCAGAAATGCAGTCGAGAAGAACCACCATGACTGCGCCGACATTAACACTGAGACAAATGGCTTAACGAAGACACAATGCTTCAGCAAATCTTCATTACAGCTTCAGTGTCTGAAGCACATTGACAGTTGTATTCATCATGGCGTCCGCTCACCTATTTTTCTAATCGTACAAGTAACAACTATCTGATTTAGTATGTTCTGGTAAATATTCATAATAATAGTGATGATGATGATGATGGTGGATGATGATGATGATGATGGTGGTGGTGGTGGTGGTTGTGGTGGTGGTTGTGGTGGATAGATGGATGGATGATGGGTGAATGACGATGATGATGATGATGGATTGATGGATGGATGATGATGATGATTATGATGGATGGATGGATGGATGGATTATGGGTGGATGATGATGATGATGGATGGATGGATGGAAAGATGGATGGATGGATGGATGGATTATGGGTGGATGATGATGATGATGGATGGATGGATGGATGGATGGATGATGATGATGATGATGATGATGATGATGATGATGATGGTAGTGGTGTTTGTGGTGAATAGATGGATGGATGATGGGTGGATAACGATGATGATGTTGATGATGTTGATGATGATGATGATGATGATGATTTAAATGAATTGCGGACCCAAGGTTAAAAACACCAGGGACACAAGTATATGGACAGGCTAGGAGGGAAGCTATGCCACAACCCAGTAAGTACGGAAGGTAGGAGACAAAGGGAACTGAGTGACAAGCGAGCTGTTTGTCTGACAATATGCGATGTATCCCTATAACAGTCAGGACGACGCATGACAGCGTCCTTTAATAATTCCATACCTCATACTTCTCTGACTCCGGATTAAGATCCAGCAGCGAGTAATCGGCGTTCCTATCTCCGTTAGCGTCAATGCTGACAGTCCCCGTGATGCCTACAGACAGATATATAGGGCAATTACAGTACAATAGGATGGAGGCAAGCGTCATGAAGATACATTGGTCTTTTCCCTATTCACAGTGAAGGACACTTACACCCACCCACTTGTCGACTTGTCAGTTATCTTAGCTCGTAGCTTTCGAGAAAAGGTATGGACAAAAACGTCATCATTTCAGTTGATATGAAGGGAGTGCTTTCTGAACAGGCGTGAACTATCACACATTAAGTCATCTTTGACCAAAGACGTTAAACATAAATTTCCACTGATGCGTTCGTAAAATAGTTTGTAACAACCATCCATGTGACTGCATTGCGAACAATGGTTAAACCAGAGACCATATACCGACGTCAGAATAAGTTGCCTGGATTAACGTACAATACTGACAAGCTGACGTAAGTGCCTAAATTCCTGATGTAAAGAACATCGTGTGAAAAAAATTATCGGAAGGGGTTCACGTAATTGAATATTAAACGGATTGATGTCAGTTTTGATTATGTCCATTTAACCTTTTTCCGACAAACACTTTGCAAAAAGTACTCTGCAGCGGTAGCAACTTTGTGTACAAAGGAGTAAATCGAAATATTGTTGGTAGAAAAAGGAATCTGCAGTCTCATGAGTCTTAGCCTGTTAGACATTTTGTACATTTGTTCCGCAAAAAAAGCAAAGTTATTTACTTTTAGGCGTATAAAAGTTTAAAATACCCACAAAACAATCTATTTTTCAAAGAAAAAAAATCAATTTTTAAACGAAATTGTATTTTATGAATAGGAACTTGTAGATTCATCTCATGAGTGCTGAAAAAGCGCTATTTTCTCTTAATTTCGATTTTTTTTAAATCATACCGCAAACATTTGAGCAAAAAGCAAACATATATTTGAGTTAAAAATCCAATATAATTATGGTAAAATACCTGAAACCTGTTGTCCCTCAGTATGTATCGACCATGGAGAGTTCAAACGTATTGCTAGAATGTGACATATTAAGAACTGTTTTTTACGTTTCAGCAATAAGTTATCGAGATCACGGAGAGGAGGAAACAATGCATTTACTTATTGTGCTCATGCTGGGAACTGATTCCGAGCCTTCAGCGGGACGAGCCATCGCTTTGCCCACAGGGCTACCCTATGCCCATATATAGATGTTGACTTACCCTCAAACGTTCTGTTCCACATGCGACGTGTGATGGCAGCACCGTCGGAGATGGAGCCGTTCGCCTCCAGCGTCTCGTTGAGCGCCAGGGCGTACAGGATGACTGCGTCGTGGAACGCACCCACGAAACTGTTCACCTGGAATAAGACAGGGGTGATGGGTAACTTCACTTTGAACACGTCTTTTGTATTATATATCTCGACAGCTACACTTTAAACCACAACCGCAGATCACAGACCTTTACCTCTCTGTTGAAACCGCTGAGCATGGCTATGGTCTTCGAGTTCAGATAACACTAGGGGAGGTAACTCGGCTTGGGGAATTGAGGAGCCTTAGATTACGGATCCACTCGAGTCCCATCGAAAGGACAATCAACATGGTCACTCAAAGTCCAACATTAAATGGAACATGGGTCACACACCTCGGTACAAAGGATGCTTTGCGGACGTGAGGTCGAGGAATTTAGGTAGTACTGGGTTGGTTGGTTTGTTGTTTAACGCCGCACCATGCAATGTTATAATTTATAGCAGCTGTCTGTAAATGATCGAGTCTGGACCAGACATTCCCATGGTCAACAGCATGAGCATCAATCTACGCAGTTGGGATACCAGGGCATGTGTCTACCGGGAGGGTACAAGGGAGGGGGTGTAGGGGTGCTGATGACGATGGAGATGACTTATAAAAGATGGGAGATAAAAATGTTTGGTCGTACTTGGTGTAGAGGTGGTCGGATGGTGGGGAATGCTGGGCTCCCCTGCTGATGACGATGGAGATGGGTGATGTAGGATGGGAGTTGAGAATACTGAATCTCACTAGGTTTTGGGAGAATGTTTGATCGTAGTGGGATGTTGGGGTGGAGGTTGCGGAAAACAATGGAAGGTGCTGAAGATGTGGATATATGTTGGAAAGGGAATTGTTTGGCCGGACGAATGATTAAAGAGGGGATAGGTACAAGAGAGAATCCGTAGAACCACCGTAGAGAGACTTTTTCGTTATTGGAAACAGCCTTCGGAATAAATTGCAGACATCACGTTCTAAAACGTACAAGATCGATTACAGTCGCCTAAAAGAGTCTCCACTTAAATCGTCCGCCTTTTCGACTGATGAATCCCGTCACTAGGGAGTGAGTATCGAACGACGAAGCACACAGTATCTGTACTGCTTGATTTAGCGTAAAACTCATTTCAGTATGTAAAAACAGACGGTGCATACAGCTAACGCACGATCTGAATAATCCGACAAGGTCACGTGTACTTAACTGCAAGAAACAAACAATTCCTCTTTGTTTGATTAAATGAAAAAAATATATTAGCAGCGGTATTAACAGGAGCTTCGGCTTCCAAAGATCGATGGTATGTGTAATTCTAGTACTGTGACTATATCACGTCTTTTCGTGCCTTGTCATTGATCCTCAGTACTTTTATGTCGTAAATTAGATTCACTTTAACCAATATTAAGCAACTGAACATGTACACGTTTACTCTTGAAATAAGTGTTCTATATAACAAGTTGGTTTAAAATCGTTATCTTTTTAAAGTGCCCGGGTGTAACTATCCGTACAGTTTCAGTTCGCATGCACGTTGAAAAGTCAATGAATTCCCAGTATTATTAGATCTTACCTCCTCCTCCCCGTAAGTGAAGTTCTTGTACATTTGGGCAGCTCTTCTTTTCACCTCCTCCGAGAAACGCCTGTACTCAGGACTCGTCGGTTTTCTCAAGGTCACGGTCATCAATGCTTCGTACGCAAGTCTTGCTTTCTTGTTGCGGTCTTCTGTGTCGTTCTCACGGAACCATGGTCTCTCGCTGGCGTTCTTACTGTCAATCAAGATTGTCAGCTAGTCAGTAGAAGTTAACGCTGTCATAAAATGTATCACAGTTATATCGCAATGTGTCAGCTTAATTTGGGGCTAGGGGGCTAGTGGTTAAAGCGTTCGCTCTGTCACGCCGAAGACCCGGGTTCGATTCCCCACATGCATACAATGTGTGAAGCCCATTTCTGGTGTCCCCGCTATGATATTGCTGGAATAATGCTAAAAAGCAGCGTAAAACTAAACTCACTCACTCAAAACATACTGCGCACCCACACACCACTGAATCTCCAGGATAATATTGTCATTATGGGCAGGTATTACTCCCGCACCTGTACAGCACAGGCTAATTACTAAGATAACGGATACAAAATGCATCTTGTTTCCATGCACGACCAATGTATTTCGCTTGTATTACTCGGCTGTTTTTACAAATGTTAATCACAGGCATGGATTTATATTCATGAGTTAAGAAAAACTAAATTGAAGTTTACAATCTCCCAATCAGACATATTACTCTGCCAAGATTGATAGGAGATTCTGACTGAGAATAGATTCGCTATTAAAGACATCAGAACGAACTAATTCAAATATAAACTCTTTCAATTTTACCGGAGTACCATAGGGTTATGTAATTTAATTGTTTATCTTTAAACAGACTCGAATCATCAAAGGCTGAAAGCTGGTAGCTTAAGAGCTGGAGAAGAGATTGCATGTAAGATACACCAATTCTCATGCAAATTATACAAAAAACTTTCTATTTCACCTGCTCTATTGGACCTAATCACATTCCAACTCTCACCTATTTTCTGCAGCTAATCGATTTACTTGAGAATAAACATTCCTCTAAAGAAAAACAAATTACGTGAAAGACGTCCTGCAATTCTCTGAAGAAAGAGCAATGTCCTTGACAAAAAGGCAAGTTAATGTACTTGGGAGCTAATCCACATAAGACGAGCGATGCGAAGACACACGGCTAAACAACGATCCTCTTATATCCCAGAAAATTGAGGAAATCAGAGGCTTGAATATATTCATTGGCAGCTATGTGTTGCAGGTTTTGATGTTAACGAATGAGGCTATTGGAGCAAGGGGTTATCTGAAGGCGAGGAGAGGGGAAATGGCGAGAGGTTTATTGCAAACACAAAAGCCTTGATCACCAGAGAGAGGACAGAAACTGAAGCACTCCTGCACTGATTGGTATAGAATGGGACACTCACGACGGAACTACATTTCAACGTCTCCGTCAGTTTAAGCCGTACCCTGACATGTTAACGTGTAGTACAACAGAGAGACCTGGTTAATCCAGAAACTCGACATACGACTGTATTTGTGAGTTGACATTGTGAGTTTATATGTGCTTAGTGGAAATCTCAACCATAATGGCAATTACTGCTTAGATCGAAATACCGTCTAAGGTAGTTATGTAAACCCTTCGAGTTACCTGAGGCTCGACACAACCGCAAAATGATGACTAAGTTAGGAATATAGTGGGACCAAATGTTCACTTCGAGACAACTCCGTTGTGCTTGGCTGTAAATAGACACACCGTGACACATCATGACCTGTGTGAATCCTGACGAATCCATCTCGACAGTTATATATATTTAAAGTGAAGGTTGGCGATGATCGGTGACTCCTTATCCTGACACATGTCGATCCAGACCAGGTCATTGAGGACAAAGCCATTTGGAATCATGAGGTTTAAATTTATACAATGATAGAGATGTGTTGATTGTAATGGTTGATCTGGTGAGTGAGTGAGTGAGTGAGTGAGTGAGTGAGTGTTTGTAATATTTTAAGGGCTACCCAGCTTTTTTTCCGAATCTGTTTGCCTCAAATTTCATCGTAAATCTTTCAATACCACAAAGGGTCCAATAATGGATTAAGGAAAGGTTTAGAACGGCGACTGTTTACCATCGAATGTATTGTACTTATATGAATGGGATTAGGTTATCCAGAGTTACGGCCCTTGGTTGGCTCGTTTGATAGGTTTGAATCTCAGGTTCTCGAAAATGAATTATTACCACACATTGTGTTCTCGGTATATCTGACTCCACATTCTCGACGATTGATTATTACCACATACTGTGCCCTCTGAATGGCACACAGTGAGTGAGTGAGTGAGTGCGTGAGAGAGTGACCGAGTGAGTGAGTGAGTGAGTTGGGTTTTACGCCGCTATTAGCAATATTCCAGCAATATCAAGGCAGGGGACACCAGAAAAGGGCTGCATATATTTGTCCCATGTGGGGAATCGAACACGGGCCTTCGGCGTGACGAGCGAACGCTTTAACCACTAGGCTACTCCACTGCCCCCGTTAATCTGGAGTTAGTTCATATAGATGCACCTGGCAGTCATTCTTTCTTTTGACCTGAAGGTCTATACATAGCCGGGTTTGACAGTAAGAGGATACAACTGATCAAAAGATCCTGGTATCATTTCTGACAACTCGGGCAAACGACTCGTGACTTGGTTCTGAGCAGTCGGGCCAAAGAAAAATAACTATAGACCGGTCGGACATCTTCAAAAATGGTTATTTTCCCCATAAGTAAAATAATATTACCATGTAAAACACATCAAGGTAGCATGTAGTGTATTTCACACAGATAACTCCATCTTGGGTATAATTTAGATACACGACGTATGTTACATAAACTAGTACTCCTAAAGGATCCTGCACCAAAGTACTTGACGTCACACACGCATACAGTTTGTGTTGTATGTTCGTATATAACCTTATTGATAGGGTACGAGATGTCTTGCAGGGTGTGGATTCGGAATAAAGACGAGTGGTGACGAATGGATTGTCAACAGAGATGTGCGTCAGTAGAGATGTGCGTCAGTCAGATTTCATTGCTTTTACTTCCATTAGTGTGAGCTTGTCGCAGAAACTCATTCACAGGGGTCGGTGGGGTGCCTAGTGGTTGAAGCGTTCGCTCGTCACGCCGAAGACCATGGTTCGATTCCACACATGGGTACAATGTGTGAAGCCCATTTCTGGTGTCCCACGCCGTGATATTGCTGGAATATTGCTAAGAGCGGTGTAAAACCATACTCACTAACTCAATCATTCACACACACAAACACACATAGACGCACTCATGCTCACACACACATTCACAGACATAACGTGCACTCACACACTCATTTCTTTGTTGAGTCGATATTTTCCGCTTTCGGCTTTCTTATTAAGACTGATTATGTTTAAAAAATGATGGAATTATGCTTTCAGTGACATTCTTGAAAACAAAAATTCTGTCTTGTGAACGTTCCCCGGAGTTTCACAGCCGCTATCTGCCTTTAGACGTAAATATACAGCTTCATCGCCGGTGATAACATTCTCTAATTTTGAACTGAAAAGATTTCGTTCTGGCAAATTTCATTCTGCCAGTAAAAGGTAGTGTATGGGTAAAATATTTAATAATCGCTGAAAATCGGCGATGGCACAAGCTGTTCGAGAAAAGGATAAGCATTTCCAGCCCCAACTGTTGTACTCAACATTTACTCTGTTTGCATAAAGCATGAGTGAGTTAATACTGTAATACACCTTGGTACACAACACCAGCATCATCACTCGCCGGGAATACTTTGGAGAATTGCTGCGGCGGTGTACAGCAATATCTATTCAATCATTCAGCGTCATTAACAAGTGCTTTTCGTTAAAGACGGTACACTTCCTATAATCTTCATCGTACAATTCAAGGATCTCTGAAGGGAATATCTTCAGAATTTATGGCATCTCATGTTCATGTTCCACAAAGAGATCTTGACGCTAAGACCATCACAACGCCCATACTTTAACATGGAGTAAAGGAACTCGTAGATTAAAATCACCTGGCATCCACAGCCGGTTAAATATAATGGCTTAGACCCGACCACGACAGATGCCTTGGTGGAAGCGCTTGCCACGCCAATGTCTGTAGACAAAGGTACAGACATACCTTTCAGCGATCATGAGAAGACAATTGTGTTCTGATCACCATGAACCGGATGAAGCGTTATTCAACACTTGCGAGATCGCTGGTCATTAAAACGAAGCTACATCTAGCAGTAGACATGAGGCAGGTGAAACCGATATACATCACGCATTGTTAATTTAATCCGGCAAACTTCGTCCCAATAGGGGTGAGGTTATGTCCTTAACCGTTGACTTGGTTACCGTTGACTTGTCACCCGAAGGGCCGGGTTCGATTCCCAAAGAAAGTACAATGTGTGAAGCTCATTTCTGGTTTCTCCCGCCATATTATTACAGGGTGGTTGTTAATCGTAAAGCCATCGTTACTTCTCCCCAAGAGACTTATACAGTTCCTGATGGGGCCCTCTACCGTAAAAAAAGTTCGCTTCATCGTTTTTTATGTATCTGTGACTGCGCACTTATGTTTTAGTTGCCCGGGAGACTCGTTTTACAGCTGACCGTCGTAGGATGAGGACGGGGGTGGAGATGTGATTGGCGTTCATGTCGTCACCTTCGCAGATGCAGCCGTTTGTTGTCATCATCGTATGTCGGGAGCTGATCAGGGGTTCATCATGGGTGTCTGGCAATCGGGCTGATGGTGAAGTGCCGTGCTTGAAGTGTTCAATCATTATCTGCCTTGACAGTCCGTTCGTCATATGAGCAAAATATTCTCAAGCACGACGTTAAACCCAATTTCACCTCACCTCACATTGACAGTCCGTACACCACAGAGCCCGTTGTAAAGGTACATGTTCGACATCCTCCGTTATAACTGATGGTGTTAGAGGTTCGGACCAGAAACACTGCCGTTCATCTGAACAAAATACCTACGAGGATAGTTCGATAGGGAGATGCTAGGTTATATGAGACCGTTCCTTTATGCTCTTTTATCAGTTATAGCGCATGTCTATTTTACAATTGCAACAAAAAGTAAAACAGCCCTTTCCGGGAAGCTGCGTCCGGATGTTCCAATATTGCGTGGTTTTGGTTTGTCAACCCGATTCATCATTAGTACCCCTTCATGTAAGATATATTCCTACGTTTTCATAATAATGCAGCACCTGTTGCTGCAACTACACATTACTACTACGTCTAATACTACTTCTTCCACTACTACTACTACTACTTCTACTACTACTACTACTACTACTACTCCTACTACTACTTCTACTACTACTACTATTACTACTACCAGACCCGTGAAGGTCCGGGTTAGAATGAACCTTCAGTAGCCCCTGTTTGTGGTAAGAGGCGACTAACGGGATCGGGTGGTCAGGCTCGCTGGCTTGATTGACACGTCATCGGTGCCCCATTGCGCAGATCGATGCTCAGGCTGTTGATCACTGGATTGTCTGGTCCAGACTCGATTATTTACAGAGCGCTGTCATGTAGCTAGTAGTGAGTGCGGCGTAAAAGCTAGTAGTGAGTGAGTGAGTGAGTGAGTTTAGTTTTACGCCGCTACTACTATTGCCAGCGCTGCTGCTACCGTGACTATTTTTACTGTTGTTGCTATAACTGCTACTACTACCGGTATTGCTTCTTCATCTAGTACTGCTGCAACTTCCACGACAACTACTATTTCTACTACTGCTGCACTTACCTCGAGAACAGGTCGATGTTGAAGAAGACGTATTCGCCATTGTCGAAGTTGAGCTCATGCGCCTTGATCATTATCTCCCTCACGGAGTCAGGGGAAGCGCACAGCACGATGACTGAAACCAAGAACAGACCATACAGAACCAGTCAATCTACACACAACCTGACATAGCTACAACCTTACGTTAAGTAAACAGACAATACAAAACCAATCTACACACAACCTGACACAGCTACAACCTTACGTTGAGTAAACAGACCATACAGAACCAGTCAATCTACACACAACCTGACACAGCTACAACCTTACGTTGAGTAAACAGACAATACAGAACCAGTCAATCTACACACAACCTGACACAGCTACAACCTTACGTTGAGTAAACAGACAATACAGAACCAGTCAATCTACACACAACCTGACACAGCTACAACCTTACGTTGAGTAAACAGACCATACAGAACCAGTCAATCTACACACAACCTGACACAGCTACAACCTTACGTTGAGTAAACAGACCATACAGAACCAGTCAATCTACACAACAACCTGACACAGCTACAACCTTACGTTGAGTAAACAGACAATACAGAACCAGTCAATCTACACACAACCTGACACAGCTACAACCTTACGTTGAGTAAACAGACCATACAGAACCAGTCAATCTACACACAACCTGACATAGCTACAACCTTACGTTGAGTAAAAACAGACCATACAGAACCAGTCAATCTACATACAACCTGACACAGCTACAACCTTACGTTGAGTAAACAGACAATACAGAACCAGTCAATCTACATCAATAAACCTGACAAAGCTACAACCTTACGTTGAGTAAACAGACCATACAGAACCAGTCAATCTACACACAACATGACACAGATACAACCTTACGTTGAGTAAACAGACCATACAGAACCAGTCAATCTACACACAACCTGACACAGCTACAACCTTACGTTGAGTAAACAGACCATACAGAACCAGTCAATCAATCTAATAATAACCTGACATAGCTACAACCTTACGTTGAGTAAACAGACAATACAGAACCAGTCAATCTACACACAACCTGACATAGCTACAACCTTACGTTGAGTAAACAGACAATACAGAACCAGTCAATCTACACACAACCTGACAAAGCTACAACCTTACGTTGAGTAAACAGACCATACAGAACCAGTCAATCTACACACAACATGACACAGATACAACCTTACGTTGAGTAAACAGACCATACAGAACCAGTCAATCTACACACAACCTGACACAGCTACAACCTTACGTTGAGTAAACAGACCATACAGAACCAGTCAATCTACACACAACCTGACATAGCTACAACCTTACGTTGAGTAAACAGACAATACAGAACCAGTCAATCTACACACAACCTGACATAGCTACAACCTTACGTTGAGTAAACAGACAATACAGAACCAGTCAATCTACATACAACCTGACATAGCTACAACCTTACGTTGGGAAAAAAACAGACCATACAGCAGAACCAGTCAATCTACACACAACCTGACACAGCTACAACCTTACGTTGGGAAAAAAACAGACCATACAGAACCAGTCAATCTACACACAACCTGACACAGCTACAACCTTACGTTGGGAAAAAAACAGACCATACAGCAGAACCAGTCAATCTACACACAACCTGACACAGCTACAACCTTACGTTGGGAAAAAAACAGACCATACAGAACCAGTCAATCTACACACAACCTGACACAGCTACAACCTTACGTTGAGTAAACAGACCATACAGAACCAGTCAATCTACACACAACCTGACACAGATACAACCTTACGTTGAGTAAACAGACCATACAGAACCAGTCAATCTACACACAACATGACATAGCTACAACCTTACGTTGAGTAAACAGACCATACAGAACATGTCAATCTACACACAACCTGACATAGCAACAACCTTACGTTGAGTAAACTGCGTCCATATATTTGCTGGAGGCAATATGTAAAATGACTGAATGTTTCATCTGATGACTAAAACTCCAAAACGTCGTGTTCCTCAAAATAAAGACATCCATAAATTCTCGATTTTATGTGTATCACTTTTAAATGCTGTTAAAAGACAGTTTCAGAGTTCACAAACGCTAACTATTTCAGTTACAAAGAAACGACAACGACCACATTAAGTTTATAGTAAAGAATCACAAATATGCTGAGGCTGAATTTCTTCACGAAGTGACTTTTTATAAATGGATTGAAACAAATCCTGAATAAGTCAACGTATATTTTGAAGCTTTTATAAACATAACTACTGCATTGTTTCTAACCAGTTTTGAACTTATGAATGCTCTTCAGTCAGTTGTAAAAGGTCTGACATATTCAGGTGAACATCCCTGGTACCTGACAGCTGACGGGTTGGCTGTAACTATAGCAACACACAGCAGGACATACTACGAAGGATAAATAGCAGCAACCAGCTGACAGGCTGTCAAGACAGTTCACCATGACATGTGAGAGTCAGTGGGTCTTCAGGATAATGCCCCAGAATTGTAACGACGAGGCGGTTCCATCAAGATTTGTCACTTTATCATTGAGTAAGTCACTTGGCTGGCAACATATGTCAACGGGCATTGCTTGACGATTTGATTACGGTAGGTTAGGGGAAAGCCTGAAAATTGCCTTATTCACATTTCAAGTGTCCATACAGACATGTTTCTGGTAGTCAAGGTCAGACAGATTGCAGGTCAAGGTCACGGAAGTGACTTTGCTCTAGATCTAGTTCACACAGTGATCGATGGGCGTGGTTATAAAATCTGTTAGCGTCGACGTTACATATGTGAATATTTAATGGTGGTTATGTGACATCTACATTTTTAATCTTGGTCAGCAGTATACATTTTCATTAAAAAATGAATATAGTGAATTGTCCGTCGATAGGTATATCGCGGTAAATAAAACTGATATGTGTCAGTATTATTTACCGCCAAATACCTATCAGTTATTCGATGGTGATGTATTGTATACGTCCATTACAAAACAATAACACTTGTCGTGTTCGCCGGCTATTACATAATTGGTAGATATGTAAAAGATAAGTACAAAACAATACCCAGTCTTGACTATCCTCAGACACAAATTCCAATCAGTAAAAAGGGTAAAAAATGCCAGTTAATAATAATAATGAGAATATTTATAACGCGCCTTTTCCAGGCTAGATATCCTGCTCAAAGCGCACATTCACTGATTATTACCCCGGATAACCCAAGCTGTCTGCTAGGCGCTAGAAGGTTAATAGTCTTATGACTTATTTCACCGGTTACCCATTTCCTGCTGGGTGAACAGAGGCAATTTGAAGGTTATAGTCACATGACTTTATCCAACCGGGTACCCATTTTCTGCTGGGTTTTCTGAGAGTTTCTAGGACTTCAGTCCCGCCCCACAACGAAGCACATGTGATGCATGTGGTCTCACCTTAGGCAAGTGAGTTTGTTCAAATTGCCTCTGTTCACCCAGCAGAAAATGGGTACTCGGTTGGATAAAGTCATGTGACTATAACCTTCTAGCGCCTAACAGGCAGCTTGGGTTATCCGGGGTAATAAGAATCAGATTCTGATTAAGCGCCGCGAGCAATCACTTGGTGTTTAGAGATTGTGCGCTATAGAAGATGACTTCTAACGTGCCTTGCCATTTACATGAATAGAAATGATTTGTCTTTTAGCCATATATTCCTCACACATAAATGTCGTTTTCTGATTGCTTAACCATTCAATGTACCCTGCTAACAAGCGAGTAACATTTTCTACGTTATCCGCTAGAATGCCGAATTGTGGGAATTCGCTTGGTACTTCGTGTTAGTAGTGTTTGGGCTGTTGCCTAGCTCCGGTACTCCTTATTATGATCCAATACCCGTGCTTCAAACAGTTTAAAATTAATATTGAGGTATTTGGTAAGATAAATACGTTGTTCACTGGTCCCTCGGGGCCCGTGTCAACCCATGTCCCCCTCGTGACCAGTGAACTACTTATAATATACATATCTCTTCTGTCAGTCATACAACCCCCAGACACTCGGACAATGCTAGCTCGTACCAGAAAGTTTGATGTTTCCATAGCGGTTTGCATGGTACTGACATAGGACATTCAGTGGAAAGATCATGGCGTCTTCAGAGTCGTTAGTTAAAGTGCCATTCAGTTTGTAATGGAAACCCCTGGCAAAGACATTAAGGATTTAATTATTTCCTGTATTTTATGAACTGGTAATTGTAGATGAGGCCACGTTAAACTCACTTCCGTCCCCCTATAGAAACACATTTGTGATCGAAGATGGATTGAAACTTTTATTGATCTCACAATCCGTCGTCGTCTCCTGGCCTTAAGAAAACACATGGTCGTGAGGCGACAGCATGTTACAGACACGTCGACAACGCCGCCTCACCCCAACCATGGCGCACAACGTCGGTGATGTTTGGCAGCATCAAGGACGTCGCAGGAAGCCTCGCGTGTTTATGTCCCAGGCGATGGGGATTTTAATATCAAATCATTTTCTAGTTCAAACACATTTCTTTAAAAAAATGTATGAATTTCCTTTACGTCTCTTTTAATGCCTCAAAAGTAATAATCTTTGAGTCAAAGGATCCAGTAGAAAATGAATGTGTTTAGAAAATAGACGTTTTATTGGTGAGACTTTAACAGTCTTTGACAGACAGATGTGAGGTTTGTTAAGTCAGTTTGGGACTGATGTGTAGTATCAAACTGGGATTATATGGGAAGTACTGTGCATTATCTCGTCAAGGTGGGTGATGCGACAGAAGCAGCGGTTAACTGATGATACAGGGGACGTGATTGGTAAACGGACAGAGAAGATGCAGATGGACGTCTTGCCATGGGTTGTCACTAAGTCTCGTTTCCTCTTTTCCACCTATCTCTTCCATCCCTTTATCGCCTCTTACCCTCTCTCTATCCTCCTTCTCATGTATCCTCTTCTTACCTTAAGATTCTAATCTCCCTCAAACTGAAGGCATCTCTCTCACACACACTCTCCCTTTCTCTCCTCCCTCCCTCTCTCTCACCTCTCTCCCACTCTATTCTCTCTGCCTCTCTCCCCCCTCCCTTTCGCTCT